CGACGTGATTTTTTGGAATTAAACCGAGATTTTTTTAATAAAGAATTAAATAAAAAAAAAATCACCTTATGCATGATTTTTATTTTTTGTGTTCATTTAATTAGTCATTTTTGATTAATTTTTAATTGCTTATTTCCCATTATATTACTGATTTACAGTTAAGTGTGTAGTGACGAAAATATTTGTATATGCAAGTATTTGCTCGACTCATACAAAGTACACGGTTAGGAATTTGTTGCGTTAATAACTCAATAACTATACGTGATATCGACAATCAGAAAAAAGATCCTTGAAGAGGAGGAAATTTCTGAAAAAAAGTCTTGACTCCCGGAACTCTAGCTCCATAAACAATAATTTTTATTTAATGTTGAATATGGGTTTCCGCGCGGCTGCTGTCCTACTCGGGCCTCGATACGCCCGTGTGTACATGAAGCAAGTTCAAAAACCAAGAGAATGATTTACTTGGATTAAGAGGTTTTTTTCTTCACTCAAGTTGGTAAGCATGTTGGAACTAGGGAATATTTGCTTAAACCAAGATTGACCAAAACAAGAAAAAAATTTACTCAACTCAAGAATATATTTTATCTTCAGTTGAATATACTTGGATCAAGTAAATATTACTTGACTCAAGATGACTTTTTTTTCTGTGAGTTAGCAAATTAAAAAAAAATTTAACAGAAAATTATCAGTAATGAATATTCTATTCTTATTATTTTAACCTTTAGTTTCACTTCATTGTTACTTGTGTAATTGATAATGACTAGTTTAAAGTAAAATTTCTTCAGAGAACAATTTTCAACAAAAAGACAATGAAAGGTATAATGGAATAAGAAGACAAAAGAGCAGGGGTTGATATTATTTGACCTGAGTCCCAATATTTCCATTCATTTGCGAATAAAATGAATACAATAAATAACTAAACCTATTGAATTGAAAATTTTGTAATTTATGATATCATTAGGTTAATGAAAATTTAATGACATTAAAAATTAACAAAATTATTATTTTCATGAAAAATTTTTTTTTTTAACTTGCTAACTCATTTTTCAAAAATTTAATTTAAATTTATTAAAAAATGTTAAAATATTAATAGTTATGCGGATTGCAATAAATATTTATTAATATTTAATTTGTTTGTTTATTTTTATTGAAAAAGTTATTACCTGAAATAAATTCATCCACGTTTTGGGAAATTTCAATTGAGACCGAGCTGCGCGCGCAACTTTTCTCCCATTTGGGATCTGATACAGTCTTGGATGTTGGCTAAAATTTTCATGTCAATTTCAATGTCATATTTAAATAATAATATAATAAATAAAACTTTTTTATTTTCAGAAAATGACTTCTTATGTAATAAATTCATCATATTCCCACGTAACTTTGCTCCACAAAGCTGTGGGTAATAATAATTACAAAGAAGCTACAAATTTAATCAACCTTGGAGAGAACGTAAATTCAATCTGTCACTACCCCGCAAAAAAATATAAAAACAATACAAATTGTACTGCGTTACATCTTGCAGTCTCCAAAGGAAACAAGAAGATCGTGGAACTCCTCTTAAAAAATAATGCAGATATCAACATCGAAGCTAATTGTCTTGATTCTAACGAGGACCCGAAGTACTCAGTAGCGAAAGAGTATTTCAACCGCACGCCTTTGCTGCTCGCGGTAGCCCAAGAAAACAAAGAAATAGTAGAATTGCTGATCAAGAACAACGCAGATATAAATTTAAAAACTTCTACTGGAGAATCTGCGCTTGGCTTAGCTCTAAAGAGTAACAACAAGGAATTGATTGAAATTTTATTAACCGCGGGTGTAGATATTAATTTGCATTCTGAAAATGTCACTTCGCTGCACTGGGCAGTGGCGAATAATAATTACCTAGTAGCAGAGTATCTCATCAATCATGGCAGTGATGTGAATACAGTTTGTCATTACCCACCAAGAGAGTTCTTCAACACTTGCTGTTCGCCATTGCACGTCGCGGTGAAGAATCAAAACAAAGAGATGGTCGAATTGTTGCTGAGAAATAATGCAGATGTTAATGTTAAAGCTAACTGCGATAAAACGACTCCTTGTTATGTCCCGGTGAGAGATTACTTTAATCGCACACCTTTGCACATCGCTGTTGACAAGGAAGACAAGACTATCGTCAAGATACTAATCAAACATAAAGCTGATGTTAATCTTACGACTAAGACTGGAGAAACTGCGCTAAGTATCGCTGTAAAGAAGGAAAATTTAGGCTTGATTAAATTATTAATTCACGCAGATGCTCATGTCAATTCAATAAATCCGAGTCATGTGTCGCCACTCTATCTGGCTATTATTAGGCAAGAAAATTTACGAGTTTTAGAGTTTCTTCTCGACCACGGTGCTGACTTTGATAACATCGTGGACTTTGGGGGAAATTTAATTGCTCTTCATAATTATGATAGATCTATAAAAGATGTTATTAAGCGACATATTATCAAACTGGAAGCCCTTGGCTTGTTTTCAGGCCCTTATTTTGGAACAATTGGTATAGAGTTTGATATTTTTACCAAAAATTGCAACGAAGAAATTGAAAAATTAAAAAAAGTCGGTATTAATATTAACAAAATTACTTTTTTTGATGTACTGACCATGTGCCAGCATAAGCTAGCCATGAAATTGACTCATGTTAATAAGGATAATTTAGCGCATTTGAAGACAAAAGCTAAATTAACTTTTCCGTTGTATGGAGAGTTGGTTAAACATCATCTGACCAAAGCAGCCCGAAGGAAGAAATTATTAATTAAAGCCAATATTACTCTTACTAATATTTTCAAGAGCGCTCTTCCAAATATTTTTCTCAGAGAAATGTATTATTATTTTTCTAATCAAGATTTGAATTTATTAAGTTAGTAAAATTGATATATTATTTGTGAAACTTAAAATTTTTTTTATAATTTTTCTTTTGTAAACATATTAGTATTAAGTAGTTTGTAAGCTAAATTCAAAAGTATTGTATAGCTTAATTACTTTAAGTAAATTGGAAAAAGGGGTGGGGGGGGGTAAATATTTGCCATATTCCTCAGGTATAAATAGGGACAAGAGTCTAAGTACATTACTTAGGATTTGTTTATCGTAGTAAGCAGAAGCAGAGAAGCAGAGAAAAATTTATTTTCAAACTTTGAATTGGACAACGACTGTACATCTAAAAAGGTAATTTTTATAATAATTAAAAGTATTTTAGTGTAATAAGTTAATTAAAAAATAACATTTTAATTAATTTTTTTGGTATTATTTTTAAACGCGCGGTTATAAAGTGATGGTTAGATTAAATTTTTGTTTACATTCAAAGTGATTAGTCAAGTAATATTAAGCATTATTTTGATTTTAGAATTAAAATTTTACTGAAATTAGCAGACATCAGACTTAAAATTTTTAATACAAATTGATTATAAAAAAAAAATATTTTAAAAAAATTTGCACGTGTAAATTTTTTTTCTAGTTGTGAAATTTGTTTATTAAAATTTTTTCATTGTACTTTAATTTAGCAGGCGCTGAAGTGAATCGTCCTTCTAACAGCTCGTTACTCTCCAGGACTATTTTTAACACCAAAAGTGCAATTACCAGGGTTCTGACACGTTACAATTTAAACAAGTCCGAATCAGTTGGCGGATTCTGTAATTTATTTATGTTTATTACCATGTCTTTTTTTATTTCTTCTGCCTGTATTACATCAAAAAGTTATTAAGTAATTACGAAAGTTAATTTTCTGTAAAAAAAAAAATTTTATAAAAATAAATTTTATATACTTTTTAAATTAATTTATAAATAATAATATTGATGATACTAAAAGTAGCCGATTTTGTTTTCTTTATTACATTAGAAATAAAAAATATATATTTTTTAATTGTAAGTATGTACTTATAGATTGTGTGGCTGGCAATAGCTTATCGGCTCGGTACTCGCTTACTAAAGCGTAGGACCGGGTTCAATCCCAGCGTGCATCAATGAATAACGTTTTACCTCGAAAAAGTTGGCTTGGAACTATAACCGCCCAGATTAATTGATAAGTGCTCTTAATTGCTCACAAAATGCTTAATTCAAATTCGCAATTGCTCACCTTATCAATTAATTATTTAATTAGTTATTAATAATTAAAGATACAAAATTATTTTTGTCTATCACACGTAAGCCAATAGACTTTTCTTAAGAATTTTAATGTTTTCACAATAATATTTACGTGCATAACATTGTCAATAATGTCAACCACATGGTAGTGATCTTCGGACTATTTTCGAACAATTTAAAGGTAGCGCTCACTTCATTATAAAATGAAAAGGGACCCCATAACACGTTCGAATCAGATTCAGGACCCTATAGGTATAGCTAATCGTTAGGTAGCTCGCTAATGTGGACCTAATAGCGAAGTTGCCTGGCAGTCTGGCACACGACCCTTCCCGTTTTATCAGCGAGTACAGGGCGCTATTACAGTAGTAGCGTTGACATTGGGACTCTGCAATCATGGCTCCCCCACCATGTAAACTCAAAAACAACAGTATAGATTACAATAGTTTATCAGAGAATTTGCCCTTCGTAAGTCCCGGGGGCAATGGCTAACTGCTAAGTGTCCGACCCGGGTAAACTCGTCAATAGTACTGTTATAGTATATCAAGTTTTTTATAAATAAGAATTTTGTATTAATTTTTTTATAATAATTTATAAATAAAGGAAATTATAAAAAATTTTTAACGTCAGGTTTTATTTTTTGTAATAATTACATTTTTAAAAAATTTGAAAAATTATAAGTGCAATTGGAAAAAAAAAGTATTTTGTAGTTTAGTTTTAATTTAATAAAAAAAAAAATTAAAAATGTCGATTAACTTCAGTATTAAATAATATTGTGATATATAAATTTATTTAAGAAAATTAATTTAGCAGATATTTGATAATTAAAAAAATTTTTTTTAACTAATAAATTATGGCAAAAAAAAAAATTGACACGTAGAAATTTAAAAAAATTAAAAATGCAATTTTTCAAAAATTATTTTTTGGAACAAATTTATCCTATAATAAAATAGAGATGAAATGTATGTGGCATCAAACTATTCGTAACGTGATTGGTTGAATATATCATAAGCATGAAAATATATGCAAACTCTATAGTCAAAGCGCGCGCTTGCGCGCGTAAATTCAAATTCTATTCTATCCTATAATAAAATAGAGATGAAATGTATGTGGCATCAAACTATTCGTAACGTGATTGGTTGAATATATCATAAGCATGAAAATATATGCAAACTCTATAGTCAAAGCGCGCGCTTGCGCGCGTAAATTCAAATTCTATTCTATCCTAATATAAAATAGAGATGAAATGTATGTGGCATCAAACTATTCGATAAGTGATTGGTTGAATATATCATAAGCATGAAAATATATGCAAACTCTATAGTCAAAGCGCGCGCTTGCGCGCGTAAATTCAAATTCTATTCTATCCTAATATAAAATAGAGATGAAATGTATGTGGCATCAAACTATTCGATAAGTGATTGGTTGAATATATCATAAGCATGAAAATATATGCAAACTCTACAGTCAAGGCGCGCGCTTGCGCGCGTAAATTCAAATTCTATTCTATCCCATAATAAAATTGAGATTAAATGTATGTGAAATCAATTTATTCGTGTTGTGATTGGTCGAAAATAAATATTCTCATTCTGATTGGTTGAAAGTGAATATAAAATACATAAACGACACATAAATATATCATGACAATAAATATGAGGCGCGCGCTTGCGCGCGCAAATTAAATTCTAGTTTGTTAAAAAAAAACTAAAAAATAATCAAGCAACTGCTATATAACTTTAATATCACATTTATTTTGACACCTACCTTATCGACGTGTTTGTACTGTTATTATTATGTTCTCATGAATTGTCACGGGTGGCAAGCAGTATATAAACGACAGATCGATTGAATGAAAGTGTCAGACTTTGTTATGACTCAGTTTTAATAAAAATAAAAATAAATAATATATATTGTAGTTTTATTTTAGTTAGTTAATTATAAATAATGCAGAGTGTAATTAATTCAGTAAAAGGAACAGCCCTGGGTGTTGCTGAGTATCTAACCCCTGTCCTTAAGGTTAGTTTTTTATTTAACAATCAAGTGAAATTAATAAAATAAAAATAATTGAAAGTGTGAAATAATAAAATTAATTTGTAATAATTGACAGGAAAGCAAATTTCGGGAAACAGGTGTATTAACACCAGAAGAATTTGTAGCAGCGGGTGACCATCTAGTTCATCATTGTCCAACATGGCAATGGGCAACTGGAGACGAAGATAGAACTAAATCATATTTACCTAAAAAGAAACAATTTTTATTGACACGTAATGTTCCATGTACACGCAGATGTAAACAGGTATTATATTTATGATACTAAAATTTAATGAAAATTAATATAGCTGACATCTAAAAATTTTTAGAATTTTTTTTTATTGAAAAAATGATTTAAAATTTTCATTTGTAAAAAACTATAAGTGCAATTTTTTAAAAATATTTTTTACTTATAATTTAAAAAATTAAAAACGTCGACTAACTTTAGTATTATTAAAATTTAGACATTTGATAATTTTTTTAACAATTAAATCATAGCAAGAAAAATTTCAAATTAACAGCGGATATATTTAATCATTTCAATTAATTTTTTAACATTAATTATAAAAAAAAAAAAAAGATTGAAAAAATTAACGTGGAAATTTAAATAATTTAGAAATTACATTTTTTACAAGTAATTTTTCAGAGCGAATTGATTTGTTAAATAAAATTGAAAAATGGTCAATTTTTTTAATTTTTATAACAAATCAATTCAAAAACAAATTCTTAATAAACATTTTCGCAAACAATTTTTTATAATTTTATCATATTGATTTCATTGCTATAAAATTATTAAAAAATTTCTAATGTCATTTAACTTAAATGTCTTGCAAAATTCCATCTTAAGAAGTTCTAAAAAAATTCTAAATGCAATTTTTTTTATTTTCTAGATTTAGAATTTTTTAATTAAAATTTTTTCATAGTAATTTATTTGTTATAAAAATTAAACAGACTTCTGTTAACTTCAGGATTTTACTATCATTTATATTTTTAATAGCTTTATTTTGGAGATAAGAGATACTTTGATTAATTATATTTACTTTTCAAGATTGAGTATTGTGACGAGCAAGAACGTATTATAGAAGCTGATGACCCTGAAGGCGGTTGGGTAGATACCCACCACTACGACGCCAGTGTCGGAGGAATTGATGAAAAAGTTTCGGAGATGACGTTAGAAGACACGACGCAGCAGCCTCCAGATGCTGATGATGATGACGAAGATGATGAAGAAGCTGCTGACATGGAGGCTTTTGAAGTCAGCGGGATGCTCGATGAGCAAGATAAGGTGTTGAAAAATTTGTATTCTTATTCTTTATTTTCTTTAATTAAATCGCATTGATTGAAATTTTTTTTTTAAAATAGTATGCAGCAGAAACTAAAAAACCGGTTAAGGAGAAAAAAGATAACTTTCCTGAAGGCGAAATAATTCATACGAGAACTTATGATCTCCATATAACTTATGACAAATATTATCAGACGCCACGACTGTGGCTATTTGGTTACGATGAAAATCAAAAACCACTTACGGTCGAAGAAATGTATGAAGATGTCAGTCAGGATCATGCTAAGAAAACTGTTACTATGGAGACACATCCTCATTTACCTGGACCTCCTATGGCTTCTGTTCATCCTTGCAGGTTAATTAATAATTTATGATAATACTGAAATTTAGAGACATCTGATAGTTTTTAGGATTTTTTTTTTAATAAATAATTTTAGCAAGAAAAATTTATTTAAAAAATTTATCTTTAAATGCTCTAAAAAAGTGTAAATGCTATTTTTTTTTAATAATTTTTTGAACTTAGTTTATTTTTAACGAAAATTAAAAAAATTGAGTATTTAATTTCAGTGTCATAAATATGATACTGAAATTTAGACATATGATAATTTTTAGAATTTTTTCAACAAATAATTTTAACAAAAAAAAATTATTTCAAAAATTTCATCTTTGAAAGCTCTTCAAAATTAAGTATGAAATTTTTTTAAATAATTTTCTAGATCTAGTTGATTATTAAAAAAAAAAATTAAAAAATTAACTATCTCATTTCAGTATCATAAATATATGATACTGAAATTTAGAGACATCTAATAATTTTTAGAATGTTTTTAGCTAATAAATTATATAAAAAAAAAAAATCCATCTTTAGAAGCTCTAAAAACTTATAAATGTTATTTTTTTAAAATAATTTTTTAGACTTAGTTTACTTTTCAATAAAAATCTAAAAATTGTCGTGTGCTTTAATTTGAGTGTTATAATTTATGATACTGATGTCGGCAGACATCTGACAGTTTTTTAAATTTTTACTACAAATTTATTATGAAAAAAAAATTTAATTAAAATTTTTTTTTAAATAATATACTTAATAAAAATCGAAAAAATTGACAAATTTCTGCTAATTTCAGTATCATAACCATTTTTTAAATATTAATTAAATTCTACTTAAAGTATTTATCAATTATTATTTCAGACATGCAGAAGTTATGAAAAAAATAATAGAAACAGTGATGGAAGGCGGAGGTGAATTAGGAGTCCACATGTATCTCATAATCTTTCTTAAGTTTGTCCAGTCGGTGATTCCGACAATCGAGTACGATTACACGCAAAATTTCATGCTATCTAGTTCAAGTTAAAAGTTTTCCAATGCTCAGTGTCAAAAATAAAAATATGAAAGACAATTTCGCAGAGTAAAATGTTTTTACATTTTGTACCGTGATGCATTTTGCAACAATCAATTCAAGTGTTATCAATTAAAATGAAAGCTTATACATAAATTACGCTTATGCTTTACACAAAATTAAACATTGCCAATTAAATTTCAACCTAACATTAATTAAATTACGTAAGTTCAAAATTAAAAAAAATTGGTGCTTGGATCACAGCTTTTGCACTAAACAATTTTGCACACAATAATTATTTTAAAAATATTATAAATGTGTAATAACAAATAATTAATTAAAACTAAATGTAACTTATCAATGCAAGTGCGTAGATGAATAAAATTTTAAATTAATCATCAATTTATTGAAACTATAGCATAGTTACAAAAGAAGTCTTTAATATTTACAACTTTATATAATATTAATTCTAAAAATCTACTAAAGAGTTAATAAATTTAAACATTAGCTTGCTTATTTGTCCAGTAAAAAACAATTAAAGCCCCTGATAGCCCTAGCCACCTTAACTCAAACTTTTATTCAATTTACTGCCGGAATTTGTAGCCAACTTGATGGAAAGAGTTTACAAACCAAACGGTTTTAGTTGAGTTGTCTAAAAGTTACTCTGCAATTTGACGCCAAGACTTGCAGTGCAAGTATTTTAATCAAGTTGTAGTAAAGTTGAAAGGAAATTTAACCAAAAGTTTGGTGTTGAGATAGTTGTCGTGGTTAAGGCCAAGCGTCAAAAAATTATAAAATTTTTTTTATCGAAAGATAAATATGTTAATAATTCACCACTAAAATTTCAGATCAATTCATCACACCGTTTTTAATTAATTAATTTTCGAAATTGCATCTTTTACACGTAAAGGTATAAAGAGATTGTACACTCAGAAAAAAAAAATTTCTTGGCTCAAGAACCGTTTAAAATAAATTTTGATTTTTTGACAAAAGAATATCAATATCTATCGTGATAATAAAATATTGGCATTAATTTTGATAGATTAACAAACGAATAGGTTCAATTAAATTAAATAAAAAATAATTCGATTAATTTTTGAGATAAGAAAATATATTCTTGAAAATTATCAAGAATCAATAATGAAAATTATCAGGAACTTGGACTATAAAAAATAACTCAGTGTCAAATTTTTTAAATGTTGCAACGTTTTGTTGTATTTCACAACTTCATCAGGCAAACTGTACAAAAGAAAACACATTGTTAATAACAATATGACAAGGATAATAAAAAGATAAATATTAAAAAATCTTACATTTAAGGTTAACACTATTGTATCTCAAAATAAACTCCGAAAAATTTCATCGTTTTACAATATATAAATTATCAAGAATATATATTCTTTTGACAAGAAAATTTTTTCAAGATTAGTACTTTTTTTTCTCAGTGTAAAGTTAGTATGAAATCTATTTACATCACTCTTGAGTAGTACGAAAAATTTCATACTAACTTCATCATCTCTCTATACCTCTACGTGTAATAGATGCAATCTCGAAAATTAATCACTCAAAAACGGTCCGGTGAATTGATCTGAAATTTTGGTGGTGAATTATTACTATATTTATCTTTCGATAAAAAAATTTCATAATTTTCTGACGCTAGGCCTTGCAACTACGACAAAGACCTTAACTTGTATTTTGTATTCAAATTGTGGACGTAGATTTTGGTAAATTTGTTTAAAACTGTTGTACTGTAAAAAATTACCGCAAACTTGATATTAAATCAACTGTAACTAAAATCCAACTACTTTTTAAAAAAGCGTGGCTATCAGGGACTCTACATAATAGAGACATATTCATCCCCAGGATTCGCCAACACAGAGGTGTAAAAATGTGCAGTAGTAGGAACATGAATATAAGTAGTCCCCGGAGCAGAGCCATCAATCTGCTCACCAGAATCATCTTCCAGGACTTTAACAAGCGCTGTGTTGTCATCCAGCGCGATATTTTGTTGCGTGACATCTTCAGCTAAAGTCTGCCGCATATGGATAGCCAATTGGTTGGGAATTTCTTCAGGAACCTCCGATTGTACACGAATAATCTGCCCATTGTGCTGCCCGAATCCACTGTGAGCAATCAGCTGTTTAGCGTCGTGATACGTCAGAGTAATGGGATTGCCCTCAGCGTCAGTAATCTGGAGGAACCTCTGGTCAGAGAAGTCTATTTCTTCTTGAGAAGTGTTGGGCTTGACCAGCTGTTCCTGAACCTGCAGCGAAGACAGAAGTTCCTTGCCCTCAATGGTGCTCAACTGAAGCGTCCTGGACTGACTCGGGTCATTGGGGTCTTGATAGGACACCTGGTAGATAACCGGCTGGTTCTCCTCAGCGCCCTCCTCGGTGATCACCTGCTGCAACTCAATAGAATCTTCAGCTTCCTGAGCCGGGTATATTTGCCAAACCTGTCCAGCTTCTACACTGGCTCCATGTTCAGCCGCAGTGTCATTAATCACTCCAGAAATTTCTGCCTTAACATTTCCCACAGGCAGATTTTTGTGCTCTCTGTGGATGCGCTTGTGCTTGGTGAGATTGGAGCAGTCTGCGAACCGCTTGTCGCAGATGTCGCACTTGTAAGGCTTTACACCAGTGTGGGTGCGAATGTGCTTCTTCAACGCCCACTGCTCAGTAAAGGAACGATCACAGTCCGTGCACTGGAAGGGTTTTTCCTCGTTGTGCCTCCTTAGGTGAGTTTTCCAAGTGTCCTTGTGCAAGTAAGTCTTGAAACAGAACTCACACTTCCAAGGACGCTCCCCAGTGTGTCGCTTCTGGTGCAATTTAAACTGCGAGGAGGTCGTAAACCTTCTATGACACTCATCGCACTCGTAAGGCTTAACTCCAGTGTGAATTCGCAAGTGCTCTTGCAAATTGCCATTTTGAGAAAAATGTTTCCCGCAAATTTCACACCTGTAAGGCTTTTCGCCGTTGTGCCAGCGGTAGTGCAGAGTTAAGCTGGTCTTGTGTGCAAACTGCCGATCGCACTGAGTACACCGGTACTTTTTTTCCCCAGTGTGCGTCGACTGGTGGTTTATCAAATTCGCTTTGGTTTTAAAACTGGCGTCACACAGCTTGCAAACGAACGGCCGAGCCTGAGAATGCGTCAGCTGATGCCGCTGGAGAAGCTGCTTGTGCTTGAAATTCTTGCCACATTTATTGCACACGAATTTTCGGCCATTGTTGTGCTCGGCTTCCTTGTGGTACACTACTGAGCTAGGGTGGTTCAGTACTTTACCGCAGATGTCACAGATACAAGCTTTGTTGGTCTTCTTAGGGTTTGTGAAATGCTGAGTAGACACATGGACCTTCAGATTTTCCTCAGACGCAAATGTCTCCTCGCAAACTTCACACACAAATGGATTATCTTTATTGTGGAATTTTTTAATGTGAGCTTCAAGAGTGTTTAAATTTGTAAAAATTTCTTCGCAGTTATCACACATGTACTCTTTTACATCTTTCAATTCGTTCTCTTTAAATTCATCATAAATATTCCCATCATTATCATCATTATCATTATTATTATCATTGCTATTTTCATCAAGATCATCTTTGATATCTTCATCCAAGCTTTGTACTTTCATATTCTTCATATCTTTGTCATCAGACTCAAGCGCATCCGCGGAATCATTGACATCATTGTCATCAATAATTTCCCCAAAATCTTGCAAGTACTCCTCATTAGTGCAATTATTTTTAATAATTCTCTTGCCAGTGTGCTCCTCAGTTTTTTGATGTGCCAGAAAATTGTCCACTATTGTGAACTGCTTGCTGCACTCCAGACACTCGTATTTGTCACCCAAGTGACTGCTCTTGTGCATAATGTACCGGTGACGTTGTTGGAACGCGCGGCCGCAAGTGTTGCAAATATGTTTAGCCTTTTTGTGCCTGGTCTTGGGTCTCCCGCGACCCCGACCGCGGTTCATGATTATCAACTCGCCGAGATCTTCTCCGTCGTGGGACTCGGTGTGGCCAATCACCTCGACATTGCCATCGGGAAGAGGTAAGTGCTTGTCTTTGTCATCTAGCTCGTGGTCTCTCGTGTACTCTTCATCGTCAATGACTCCCTCTTCTTTGAAAATCCTCTCTAGCTCTTTTCCCCGGACGACTTCTGAAAAACGCTTGGGGATCTTGCGCTTACGTCTCCGTCTACTGTCACCGTCCAGCTCATCGTCATAGTCGTCTTGTTTGTCTTCGTCTTCCTGGCTGGTCTCCAATACTTCTTCCTTGATATCATCCACGTGGATTTTAGGCGGTCGGCCTCGCTTTCTTCGAGGCTTTTCTAGGCCTTCCATCTGGAGGCTCATGTCATGCTCTGCTGCGTACATCGAGCCGTCTGGTAACACTGTTTATTTTAAAATAATTAATTTTAATAAATAAATTGTTTAAAAAGTTTGGAAAATCAAAAAGTGCACGCCTCATAATCTCATTTTTCACAATAAAATTGATTAAAATAAAATATAAAAAGCAAAATACTAAAAAACAGAAAGCTCTGCGTGAACGTTCATATTAATTGAGAAACTCCGTCGTGTGTTACTTTAGATAATAAAAAAAATTATTCTGGTACGATCATTTTTTCGATCAATTTCCCTGCCACATACACCAATCCATAAATACAGACACACAGACGTCCACAAAAGATTATTTTTAACGTTATTATTTAACTATGTTAAACAACATAATTGTTATTGAAATATATTTTATGTGCCTGAAAAATTATTTGACTTGATATTAGTACACTTAGATTAACCTGTAAGTGCAATATAAATAAAAAAAAAAAAAAGGCCATTCGGCATCCGCCAAGGTGGAAGGTAGATTTCATATAATCCATGATTCATATAAAAATTATTAGAACTGATTTAGCCATGGTATTCAGCTTCTTACATTTTTGTTATAATTAATGAAAAGTAAATTTATTATAGGTGAAATTAAAAAGAAGTTCATAAGCTTTAAAATGGAATGCAGAAAAACAATTTATCATTACTTAATGAAAAGTTATTCCCTAGTTAATGTCACTAAACAGGTGATTTTTTACATTTTCGAAAATTTTCAAATGTCTGCCATTACTAAACTATTTGATGGATTTAGCTTATTTTTGAACCCATTCGAGCTAATTGTTTACAGAATAAGTCTACCAAGTTTCATGAAGATTCACTGAGAATTGTGGGAGTTATCGCGTCCACAAGCCGCGTTGCATTGTGTACTTATCTGAAACTGATTTAGATGACATTCAGCTTCTGAAATTTTTGTTGTAATTAATGAAAAGTAAATTAATTATAAGTTAAATTAAAGAGAATTTCATAAGCTTTGGAGTAAAATGCAAAAAAAACGACCTATCATTTCTCAATGAAAAGTTATTCCCTAGTAAATGTCACCAAACACGTGATTTTTACATTTTCGAAAATTTTAAATGGCTGCCATTTCTAAACTATTTGATGGATTTAGCTCATTTTTGAACTCATTTAAGCTAATTGTCGGTAGAATAAGTCTACCAAGTTTCATGAAGATTCATTGAGATTTTGAACGCAACCTCGTATCTCAAAAATGACGATTTTAGAGATGAGGTGAAAAATAGCTTATAAAAATTTAATATCAATTTAAAAACAATATTTATCAATTGTATTTTCTAAAAATACTATCGTATTTATTATTAATCTGGTTAATATTTTTTTCAGTAGCGCGTTTATAATTAGTTATTAATTTTTCAGTTGAACCCTTTCATCTTCAAAAATTGAGATACGTGGTTGCGTTAGAAAATCCTTATTTTCGAAATACATATATAAACTTTCAAACCAATATCATTTTTAAGCCTTACTCGACTAAATAATTAATATAGTAACGAATTTCTATGTGAATTTTAACAGAAGGGCCAATGCAATAGATAGATTTTATGAAATTTACCTAAAAAATCAATTTCAGTTTCGAGAAAACTGCTTTTTTTGAAATGTCGAGAGTAGAGTACTCGCTTATGAGGCGTGCAAAATAAAAAATAAAAAACGTACTACTTATTATTATTCTCTGACCATAGTTTTCATCCTTTTGCTCAAAATTTACCAACTCCATTGACTCAGGATTCGATTGCTCCAACGGATTGTCATTCATTTTCAACCGATCATTTTTTTTAAATTCATTTTCTTGTTTCAATAAATCGCGCAATTTTTTTTGGCCCTCAATGAGCAAATTAAAAAATTGCATCGTCGACTCCAGCTGAATGTTACACCCTGGGCAAATAGTCGTCGGTAATTTTCCATCATCTTGGACCTGTTTTATTGAAATTATATGTTAAGAAACGAAATAATTACTATTAGATATACAATTTTTTTTATAAAGAATAAGTATTATTTTAAAAATTGTAAGAGCTTGATTATAATTAGTAAAAAAAATTGTAAATCTCCGTAGGTGTTGGAAGTTTATCAACTGAGAGTTGATTTTTTAAAAAAATATGTACGGACATGAAATAATAATAATAATAATAATAATAATAATCCTGGATCGAGATTTCAAGAAACAAGTGTTGTATTTAATTTAATAAATAATGAGAGAAATAATAAATAAATCTTGATTCATGTAGTAAATGTGCAACGAAAATCAGTGTAGATACTGTAGACAGTCATCATATTAATTTATTAGTAAAAACGTAGGAAGTCAAATTAGATCCTGAATTTTTTTGCTCTACATCCAGTTATTGTTGACAGTAGTCAATATAACAGTCTTGTTGTTGAGTACTTACAATATATAATGGAGTAAACATACCTTTAATGGTAGAAATCGGTTAATAAGAGTACTTAGAGCTGGATCTCCCTCGTTATCAGTAAATAAATTAACTCCATTAGAATTATTTTCAGCACACAATCGACAAATTGTTGACTCGTATAGTGAAATATCGTCCATTATGCATTCAAATTCATCAAAAATTGTGCAAATGTAGATTTTACTGTCCAAGTGCTGTCACAAAAATTGAATCACTTGCGAATAATTTCACTTAGTTTATAATTATGAAATGGTTTATTATTTATAACTCGACTATGGTGGACCATTTATTTACAAACCACATGTTAAAATAAATAATAATTAATTTTTTGGTTATACCACACCCACGGTTTTAGTTTATTTAGTTGGTACTCTGGTTTATTGCGATGTTTATTTATTTATCACGGTCATTATTTGTTGTATCATTGCGTTTATAATTAGATATTGTTTTAAATAGTCTACAATGTTATTTCAATATTTTTGTTATTTATTTCTGTTAAGTTGTATTATTTTTTTTTTTAGTTACAAGTTGTAATTTATTTACATCCGCCATTTTGTCGGCTTGCGAATTTTGCGCATGCGCGGGAAATTTTTCTAGCGGGCTTTTTTAAAAACTTAAAATTAAGATTAAATAAACAATAAAAAAATATAATTATTTTTGAGCTATAAAAAGATTTTTTTCTTCAATTTTTATTAAAAAAAAAAAAAAACAAAAACATTTAATAAATACCTAACAAATTATTCTAAACTAAAAAAAAATCTTTACCATTTGGTAAATAATTTTTCCCATAATAATTTAAATGGTAACATATTTTCTTTAATATGTAATCTTTTATCAAAAATATTAAAGTCAACATATTGAAGCTTTTTCAAGTATCTCTCAACAATCACAGCTGGTAAAAAAATATAATCTAAATTCATTTTAATATTCTTTCTCAATTTTTTCGCCTGTAAAAAAAAATCAAATAATTAATCATGTATTATTTGACTAGTAATGATATTGAAATTAGCAGACACTTGACAATTTTGAAAAAATTTTTCTTGAATATAAAACTAGTCAAAAAAATTATTTATAAAAATTGTAATTTTTTGAAATTTCTAGATAGAATTTAAAAAAAATTTTTTTTTTAATTTTTCTTGAATAAAAAACTAGACAAAAAAATTATAATTTTTTTTTAATTTCTAAAGATGAAATTTAAAAAAAATTTTTCTTGCTAAATTTAATTTATTAATTAAAAAATTTCTAAAAATTATCAGATGTCTTTTAATTTATAACACTAAAGTTATTCGACATTTTTAATTTTTTAATTTATTACATTGGAACAAAAAAATATTTTTAAAAAATTGCACTATTGTCTTCAAACTATTCACAGGATTAATTGAATTTCCTGAGTTAGTAAATAGATTTAAGTTAATTGAAAAAACTCTCAACCTTAGGCATAATCGACTACTGAAAACGAAGTCCAATAAAAACTACGTCATCAATAGTCCAAGAAACAGAATCTATCAGCTCTTATTAATAGATATCGCACTGACATAAATTTTTTCGAAGGTTCCTATAAAACATTCCTAGCTAAATTAAAAGAAACCTTGTAACTCATAACGCTGCAATACTTCTCCTTATGTATAAAGTAAAAGACCCAGTTATTGAGACTGCGGCCTAGTTGATTGACACTTGCAATTTTATTCTAATTAAAACAATAAAATGTTCTCAAAAAACCAATTATCTTAAAATTTATAATTCAAAAATTATATTCATTAATTTATTAGAGTCGATTTGTTTTAATTAATTAAAATAAAATTGCAAGTGTCAATAACTAGGCCAGTGGCAATAATTGGGTCTTTTACCTTATCAGACTATTTTCTAGTTTCTTTTTTAATAGATAAATAAATAAATAAATCGCACTTAAAATTTTTCAAGTTTTTTTGCAAACAAAATTTTTTTTTGTAATAATTTTTTCAATAAAAAAAATTCTCAAAATTTTTAAAATGTCGGCTAACTTAATTTTCATTTTTAATTTCAGTATCATTAATTAAGTAATTAAAACTTTACTTTGTCTAAATGCTGATTAGCTCGCGAAGCAACTTCAAAAATAGCTTCATTCAACTCCTTGCTCGCTACTCCTCGAAACACAGACTCTGAAGAGACATTATTTTGCATCAAGACGTCCTGGGGAAGGACGAGATTCCTCCGCTGTGCGTGGTAGGGTACTGATCTCAGTAAATTTATAATACCCTGCGCTTTTCCCAGATGACTGGCCATATGATCAACGTTGACGTCTTTGATGTCCTTAACTTCTAGTAACAGATAGTAAATCGAAGATAACGTATTTTCGGAGTATTGCTCCATAGCAGCCAGATCCAGGAAGGAAGAACCTTGAGAATGCTTCCACCTCGCGTCCAGGAGACGTTGGAAGTACCTTTTAGATAATTTTCTCGTCTTTAAAATCTATAATAATTTATCATTTATAATGAATTGAAAGTTTGGACTAAGAAATAAAAATAATTACTTACTCGTGATAGTTCTAGAGGGACAGGAGCCTCTGGAGGCGTGTTGTCAAATATTTTAGCCAAAGTATCATTCCAAAATGTATACCTCATGTTAGCTATTGCTAGTTCACGAGAATGTTCCTGGACAAGTGCTATTTCAACATTGAAAGCTCTGATTGCTATCGCTGGCGCTTGACAATCTTTTGGTAGCAATAATGAGCACAAATAATTCTCGTAATCATGCTTCCTGTTTAAATATTAATTTTAATATAAATTTAAGAATTATAAGTGTGAAAATTGAGTTAGCCGACATTAAAAATTTTTATTTTATTGAAAAAATTATTTAAAAAAATTTTATTTGTAGAAAATTTGAAAAACTATGAATGAAAATTAATTTAGCAGATATTTAATAATTTTTAGAATTTTTATCAACAAATAAATTACGGCAAAAAAAAAAAAATAAGAAAAACAGATTGACATGTAGAAAATTTAAAAAATTAAAAATGCAATTTTTCAAAAATAATTTAATTGTTAAATAAAATTAAACTAACTTTAATGGCATAAACTATGAGTGCAATTAAAAAAAAAAATTTTTTTAGTTTTAATTTAATAAATTAAGTATAATAAAAATTATGATTAAAAATTAAAAATTTCGGCTCACTTTATTATTATATCATTTGCAAGTAATTAGAGTAAATACTTTATAGTGATTTTAAAATGAACTGACATTTCACAATTTTTTTTCAACAAATAATTTATAAAAAAAATTTAAAAAAAATCAAAATTGTAAATTTTTTTGAATAATCTTACAGTACTAATTTATTTATTAAAAAAAAAAATTAAGTGTCAGTTACTTTTAGTATCATTAATTAATAAACAATAAACACCTGACAAGTTGTAAACAATATTGAGTTGGAGATTGTTTTTTTACAGTACTAACAAACCTACTTGAATTATTAAAATTTATTTTCGTTAAAAATCGTGTTTTGTTCATATTTCGTATTGATTTTTTTTTCTTACTCCATTAAACTTTAAATAATTACTTAATTTACAAATATTATTGTGGAGTTAGTTATTCTAGGTTAAGAATAAGCGGGAATTGATTTGTGCGCATGCGCATCTCGAAAGATTCAATAAAAAAAATTTTTAATTAAAAAAAAATTTTCTTTTAGTTAATAAAATTAATTAATGATTAATAATAAAAAATATATAAATTTTCTTATTGTTAAATTTAATAAATTATGTTATTTATTTAAAGAATAAAAAAAAATAAACAAAAACACAAGCGCTCTCTATCGTTAAGGATTTAAAAAACTGGCGTCTCGCCATTTTAATTCCAAGCGGTTATAGCATTTTCAAATAATAAAAAAAAAACATGAAAATATTTGTTGTTTGTGCAATTACTCTATCAATTAATCAAGAAGTATTTACAAAAGTGTCAAAAAAATAGGACTGAAACTTTAAGGATTCTAAACAGAAAAAAAATTTTTATTAAAACACAAGTAAGTAAAAAAAAAAAACAGTGTTATTTATTTACATAAAAAACTAACCTTAAATGTGTATTTTAGCGTCACCAACAAACAAAAATTTAAAAAGTCCCAGAATGTCTGGGAGAAATAAATCAGGAGAGAAAACTCCCGAAGATATGGACGTGGACGACGCTGACGCGACCGGTCTGGACGCCGAGGAAGGTGGTATCAGGATAGACTCAGAAATTTACATTCCTCCAGCGCCAAAAATTTACCACGCGGGTGACCACCAAGGCCCGCGGCTGATGATCGAGAAGATTGTCAATAAAAACTTCAAGAGTTACGCAGGAGTCGTCGAGATCGGGCCTTTCCACCAGTGCTTTAGCGCCATAGTGGGCCCGAACGGGAGCGGCAAGAGCAACATCATCGACGCGATGCTGTTCGTCTTCGGGTACCGCGCCACCAAGATCAGGTCAAAGAAAATATCAGAATTGATCCATCGCTCTGGCGAGCACCCAAACATCAACAGCTGCACCGTGGAGGTGCATTTCCAGAAGATAGTAGACCTGGAGAACGAGGAGCGTAACTACAAAGTGGTCCCCAACAGCAGCGTAGTAATCTCCAAGACTGCCTTCAAGGACAACACGTCCTACTACGAGTTGAACCACAAGAAAGTGCAATTTAGAGAAATCGCCAAGATGTTGCGCGACGACGGGGTCGACCTGGATCACAATCGCTTCCTGATTTTGCAGGGAGAGGTAGAGCAGATTGCTTTGATGAAGCCCAAGGCTACTAACGATCACGATTGTGGCATGCTGGAGTTCCTGGAGGACATTATTGGGACCTCGAGGTACAAAGAACCGCTGGTGAAGCTGGCTGAGAAATTTGAGCGCACTGGTGAAGTTGTTACTGAGAAACTCAACAGGCTCAGGATTGTCGAGCATGAGAAAGACGAATTGAGAGGTCCTATGGAAGACGCGGTTAGTTATATGCGCTGTGAAAATGCTATTTCTAAATTACAGTACCAGTTGTATCATTGCAAGAAGGCCCAGCACGCTGATAATTGCAAAAAACACCAGGAACGTTGTGATGAAATTGCTGAAGATTTTAAAAATCTTAAAACTGAGATGAGCGAAGTTTCTAAAGCCAAATTGGAAAAAACCTCAGACTTGAAGACAAAAACCAGCGCGTGGGATGAAATTCAAAAAGAATCTGACGCTGTGACGAGTAAGTTTAATAAGCTGAGAAAAAAAGACGAGAATTTACATCAAGAGTTGGTGGAGACTAACAAAAGACGCAAGGGAAATATCGCGACGGTCAAAAGCGAGAGAGAAAAATTGGACCAGCTCCAGAAGGTCCCGGAGAAGAGCGCCAAGGAAATTCAGGAAGTTGAGAAGCTGATAGAGCGACACCTGGTCTCTCAGAAAAAAGAAGAAGCTGCTCTTGAGGAATTAATGAGCACGCTCCAGGAAAAAACTGAACCGCTGATGAACAAGCGCCAGGAGTACGAGGGCCAGTTGATGAAGCATCGCAAAAAAATCGACGCTGCGCAGGCAGCTTTTAATCTTGCGGATTCCGAGCTGCAGTTGTGCACTTCTGTTGAGAAGGTGGAGAAAGAAAAGCTTGAGAAGCTTCAGGCGAAGTTCAAAGAAACAGCGGAGACGTTGAAACAACGTCAGGCTAAGCTCGTTGAGCTTGAGAGCAATATTCCCGGGGCTGAGAAGAATTTAGCGGTGATGCAGAAGAAGCTGGAGGGCATGCGAACTAATGATGCTAAAGTTAGTTCGGAAATCAAGCGGATGAGGATGCAAGTTGAGGAGAAGAGGTCAGCTATGCAGGCGCACAGGTCTAGGAATAGAATACTGGACGCGTTGATGCGCGAGAAGAGGGAGGGAAGGCTTCCTGGGATTCTGGGGAGACTTGGAGATCTGGGAGCTATCAATAATAAGTATGATGTCGCTGTTTCTACCGCGTGTGGCAGGCTGGATAATATTGTGGTTGATACTATCGACACTGCTCAAGCGTGCATTGAGTTTCTGAGGGTTAATAATATCGGGAGAGGTGTTTTTATTGCCTTGGATAAAATTCAGAGGCTGGTTTCTCAGTGTCAGAAGAAGATAACTACTCCTGAGAACATTCCGAGGCTGTTTGACTTGATAACTGTTGAAGATCCTCAGGTTTTACCGGCGTTTTATTACGGCTTGTATGACACTCTGGTTGCCAATGATCTGGAGCAAGCTTCAAGGATCGGGTACGGAGCCAAGCGCTACCGGGTGGTTACTCTCAAAGGAGAATTGATTGAAACATCGGGAACTATGAGTGGTGGAGGTCGGAGTGTCTTGCGCGGCAAGATGGGCCAGAAGGTGATCAAGGACGGACCTAGTCCAGCGGAGATTGACCAACTGGAGAAGAATTTAAGAGAAGTCAATGAAGAGTGTGCTCAGTTGAGAGCCCAGCAGCAACCGCTTGAGCTGGAGATCAACCGGGTGAGCAAAGAGCTGCTTGAGATGAAGAATAATAGAAATACTTTCGGTCTAGATGTTCGTTTGATGGCTGAACAGCTTCCGCAACTTAAAGCTCAGCTGAAGATTCAGGAGAAAAAAGCTACCAGTGCTGTTTCTAATCCTGCGAAAGTTAAAGAATTGAAGAAGGTTGCTGACAAGGCCGAGCAAGAATTGGCCGAGAAGAAAGAGCTGGCTCAGGTTATTGAGAGGAAATTTAAGAAGATTAATGATCAGATTAATGAATTAACCGGGGAGAAGATCAAGGAACAGCAGAAGGTTATTCAGAAAATTATTAAGGCTATTGAAAAAGCCAAGGATGAAGTTTGCAGATTGCAGGTCGCTGTTAAAACTGCTGAGAGGAATGCCAAGAAAACTCAGGAGCGCATTGACAGTCTGAATAATGATGTTGAAGTTTGTGCTGATAAGATTCGTGATATTCAGAAGGAGAAGAAGCAGTATGAGGAAGATGCTAAGGCTCTGTTGGCGGTTATTGAAGAGTGTGCTGATAAATTGAAGGACCGGGATGATACTACTCAGTTGTTGAGGAAGGAGCTGCAAAGTTTGCAAGAACGCGAGGATAAAATGAAGGCACTGAAGATTGACTTGGAGCAAAAATTGGGAGATACTAAGAAAGCTCTCGCGGAAGTTAGGCATAAGATTGAAGATTCTGAGCGGAAGATCACTGCCTTGAAGATTAATGACATTCCTGGGGAAGTTGTTGAAAAATTGACGCCCCTTAGTGATGAAGATGTTGAAGCTCTGGATGCGAGGACTTTAGCGGCGAATTTAGCTGCTGCTAAGGAGAGACTTCCGAAAGAGGTTCCTAATATGCAGGCGATTGATAATTATCTCAAGAAAGAAGAGGTGTTCTTGAAGCGCTCGGCTGAGGTTGAAGAAGCTTCTGCTGAGAAGAACAGAACTCGCTCGAATCTTGATATGGTTAAAAGAAGGAGGCACGAAGAATTCTTTGCTGGGTTCTCGATTATTAATTCCAAGCTGAAGGAAATGTACCAGATGATCACGCTTGGCGGGGCTGCTGATTTGGAATTTGTTGATTCTTTGGATCCGTTTACGGAGGGAGTTGCTTTTAGTGTCAGACCGCCTAAAAAGTCTTGGAAGAATATCACCAATTTGAGTGGAGGTGAGAAAACTCTGAGCTCCTTAGCGCTCGTCTTTGCGCTCCATCATTACAAACCGACGCCGCTTTATTTTATGGATGAAATTGACGCGGCGCTGGATTTTAAAAACGTTTCTATTGTCGGGACTTATATCAAAGACAGAACGAAAAACGCTCAGTTTATTGTTGTGAGTTTGAGGTCGGAAATGTTTGAGTTGGCTGATACTCTGGTCGGAATTTTTAAAACCCACAATTCGACCAAGTGCGCCGCTCTTAATATGAAAGAATTTGCTGCGAAAAATCCACAGATAGCGCAAAGAGAAAAAGAAAAGCAGGAAAAATTTTACAGCAGTGGAAAAAGAACTCAGATCAAGAAAATTACGGGGTCTCAACAGTTACCTTCGACTTGTCCGGCTGCTGTCGAGCAGAGGGCCGTTGTTCCGAATTCTAGTGCAAATACCAGCAAGAAAGATGTAGGGAGTTTCTTCAGCAAGCAGACTCATTCTCCTCAGGCTAAAAGACTCAGGCGGTCCGCGCTCAGGCGGGGAGCTTCTTTAGATTGTCTCAATCTTTCGCCTTCTAAGTCTGATGATGTGGAGAAAAAAAAGAGAAAACTTGATTTACTAAAAAGGTAATTTTAGAGTAATTTTGACGTACATATTTCTATATTGTTAAATTAATTGATAATGAACTTTTATAATCGGGACAGAGAATTAGTTTTGTAATTATAAGAAAATTCATCTATTTTTTTTAATATAATTAGTTGTAAGTTAGCACTAATTATTATATTAATTGAAGAGAGTTACGAAAATAAAATTTATTAGTTCATTATTTTGAAGTTTATTTATTCATTTTTAAGTTTGTTCATTTTTTTGTTTTTAAGTTTTTTTTTTTTTAAAGTAAGTAAAATTTATTTTTATTTTATAATTTATTTGGTTATTATTAATTAGCTAGTAAATTATTATTAGACTTAAATTAATAGAAATCTGTCAATTTTTTTTAAATAATTTAATTATGAAAAAATTTTTTTAAAATTTCATGAATATAAATTTGAAAAAAAAATTTTAAGTGAAAATTTTTTAAAAATATTTCTTTTAACAATTTATTTATATTTAACAATATAAAAAAAATGACAGATCTCTGTTAATTATGACATTAAAGTTAGCAGTCACTAGAGAATTTTTAATTTTTTTTAACAAACAAATTTGTTCAAAAAAATTACTTTTAAAAAATTCCAATATTTTTTTAAATTTCTACATGTCAATTTTTTTTGCCATAATTTATTAAAAAAAAAAATTCTAGAAATTATTAAACATCTGCTAAATTAATTTTTATCTGTTAATTTCATGAAAAATTAGCCGACATCAGAAAATTTTTATAATTTTTTTATTGAACAAAAATAATTTAAAAAAGATTTACATGCAGAAAATTTAAAAAATTTAATGTGCAATTATTAAAAAATATTTTTTTATTTATAATTTTTATTGATTTAAAAAATCAAAAATTGTCACGTGTCTGCTAATTTCATTATAATAGTAATAAATTATTAAATATTTTAATTTTAATTTATTTTAATAATTATATAATTGCAAGTATTTAACTATCATCAGTTGGTAAATAAAAACAAGACTTAAAAAAAAAAAAATAGATGTCACTTGTAGTTTTAAACTGCTGTTGTATCACTCGCCACGTTGGAAGAGTTGAGTTGGGGTTGTCTTACCTCTAAAAACAATTATCTGACATTTACTATTTTTATTTACACTACCCGCCTATATTATTAATTAATCTCCACGCATTAGTTAACCGTAAGTAATTATTTCATTTGTATTATCGCTAAAAAATAACTCGGCTGTTTATCATCGCTCAATCAGCATACGTGTCAATGAACTAGTATTTACAGACTACTGTCAGTGATTAAAATCATTAACAATTATTATACATTCATTTAAATATTATTTATATTTTACTAACATTTACTCGTTAGATTTTACATTTTATTTATATTATCTTTTTTTAGGTTTAAAAAATGAAGGTTAAGGAGTTATTGAAGACTGTCAATGTGGCTTGGTCACCAAAAGACCAACATCCAATTTTATTAGCAGCAGGAACTGCCGCACAACAATTAGATGCTACTTTTAACACATCAGCCAGCTTAGATTTATATTCACTTAATTTACAACAGCCTGGATATGACATGGAATGTAAAGTCAGTGTCCCCAGTGAACACAGGTATTTATTTATGTCAAACCGGGTGTCTTGGATGTCAAAATTTTAGGTTTTACATAATGACAGCTTGACAAAAAAATTATAATAATAAAATTGACATTCATTCGACAGCTTTTAAGATTTTTTTTAATGACACTGAAATTGAGAAACATTTTAAAATTTTTTAACTAATAAATTATATCAAAGAATAATTTATTTAAAAAATTCTATATTTGAAGACTCCAAAAAATTATAATTGCAATTTTTTAAAAATAATTTTCTAGAACTAGTTTAATATTCAAAGAAAATAAAAAAACGGTTGTCAAGTATTTCAAATCTGCCAATTTTAATGTAATACTAAAAAAAAATTTTTTTTAATTTTACTTGTTTATATTATTAAGAGAGTAAGAAAAATTTGGTGTCCAGGATAGTAATATGATAAAATCGGTTTTTTTAGTGTCATTGCAAAGGTCTTGATTTGAATTTGTGCCTTCAAGATTTCATATCACTCTCAACGATAGTCAATTTATGATGATAAATATTTAAGCTGCATTTGAAAATTCTGTATCTCTGGATACATAATTGAGAAATGACTTTGTATCTTGAGAACTATTGACATTTTTAAAGATATAAGCTCACCCCGACATTACACTCATCGAGACCTTTCGTTTGAGTACCCACATCAATTTTTCATATATTTATATATATTTATGTATTTCACAAATACCATATATATAGTATACATAAAAAAATTCCATGTGGGTACTTAAATGAAAGGTCTCGATGAGTGTAACATCAAAATGAGTTTAAATCTTAAAAAATGTCAATAAATAAGAAATGACCTTGTATCTTCTGAACTATTGACATTTTTTAAGATATAACCTCATCCCGACAATACATTCGTCGAGACCTTTCATTTGAGTACCCACATCAATTTTTCATATATTTATATATGTAGTATATATGAAAAATATATCAAAATGCATGTGGGTACTCAAATGAAAGGTCTTGATGAGTGTAACATCGGGATAAGCTTATATCTTTAAAAACGTCAATATTTAAGAAAGTACAGTGCAATTTAACAAAAGTCATTATTTAATAAATCAAAATTTTATTTATTTATAGTTCACAAGTCACGGCAGTCACATAGTGACTGCAAAGTTGCTAATTGTAATAGTTTTTTAATTGTTTTTACAAATGGAAATTTTTTTTAATAAAAAAAAAAAAATTCTAAAAATTTTTAGATGTCAACTAACTTAATTTTTATATTTTAATATCATTTTTTTTTAACATTTATAAAATACAAATTTCCAAAAGTCTATTGATATCAGTTTCATAAAAAGCAAATCAGCTGTTTTATGACACTAATATCAGCAGACACTTGTTCATCTTTTTTTTATTAAATTCTACTTCTAGAATTTTCAAACTATTTTATTTAAAAAAAAAATCAGATGTCTCTAAATTTCAGTATCATCATATTTCAAAAATAATAAAATCCATCATAAAAAAACCTAACCAAAATCCTGCCCCAGGTTTCACAAAATCATCTGGGGAGCCCACGGTACCAATCCAGCGGGAGTGATCGTCGGAGGTTGCGACTACGGATCAATAAAAATCTATTCCGCATCAAAGATGTTATCCCGCGAGCAAGACAGCCTGCTTTGCAACCCAGACCGTCACACAGGTCCAGTGCGAGCACTGGACTTCAACCCGTTCCAGAGTAACTTGCTAGCATCCGGAGCAACCTTGAGCGAAATATACATCTGGGACATAGTAAACACAAAGACTCCCATGACCCCTGGCGCGACGAGTATGCCAGCAGAAGACGTACAGTACATCCAGTGGAACAAGCAAGTCCAACACATTCTCGCTTCGACCTTTTCCCAGCGCTGCGTCATCTGGGACTTGCGTAAAAACGAGCCAATAATCAAACTAACCGACGCAAACTCGAAAATCCGGTGGAAGGCGCTTCAATGGCACCCGGAAGTCGCCACCCAGCTCTGTCTCGCTTCGGAAGAAGACCAGGCTCCAATAATCCAACTGTGGGACCTGAGATTTGCCACGTCGCCGTTAAAGACTTTATCTCACCATCAGCGAGGAATTTTGTCCATCGCCTGGAACAATCACGACTCAGATTTGCTCTTAAGTTGCGCAAGAGACAACACGATCGTCTGTTGGAACCCTAATGTAGAGTCCGCCAACGACCAATTTTTATGCGAGCTAATGCAAACTAATCAGTGGAACTTTGACGTGTCCTGGTGCCCCAGAAGCCCTGGACTGATCGTAGGCAGCAGCTTCGACGGTCACGCGTCAGTTTATTCTCTCCTGGGCGTTTCTCAAGCCTCTGAAACTGCGAATAAAATAGTAGATTCTTTCCCAGGAATGGATCCATTCACCCAAGCGCCGCCAGTAGTAAAACGAGAAGCAGTTCCAGCATTAAAGAAAGCCCCCAAGTGGCTGAAAAGACCCGTCGGGGCTTCTTTTGGCTTCGGAGGTAAGCTGTGTATCCACGAGAAAGAAGTAGACGCCAACAATGCACTAACCAGACCTCGAGCTTTCATTTCCCAGGTGATCACCGACCCAGACCTGGTTCACAGGTAAGAGTTCAGATGTATTTTTTAAAATACTATTTTTTTACATCTAAATTAATAATCTATACTAACGTAATATTGTTAATTACCAAATATCGTCAACTAAATAAGTTATTTATTGATTTTGTAAATGCTGAGATCTACCTTGAGTAGCATAGCATTATTTAATTATATTATTTATTGAGTTTTTTCAGATAATTTTTAAGCTTGTTTAACTATGTCGCGTGCCAAATGCCAAAAGAGCGTGTAAAAAAATTTTTTTTGTCATTTTTAGAATCGCTCAAAACGTAAAGATCTGCAGAAAAAAAATTTTTGACGTACTAACGCCAAAAGAGCGTATCTTAAGACATACGCCTTTTTGGCTTTAGGAAATTATCAGTCTACAGCCAAAAGGCCGTATAAAAAAAATCAGGATTTTTCATAATTTCGAACAACAGTCTTCAAAATTGTCCGGAGAAAGTTTGTGAAAAAATCAACATTTTCGATAGTAAAAATTAAAATTTTCATCATTTTGAACAGTCCAATGATTAAAAAAAGTATATGTATTAAAAATTTTTTCGCGTACTAAAATTTTCATATTTTTTATAAATTTCCTTCTTTTTCGTTGCGTAAAATTGTAGTTAAAATCCATAATATGTATATATAGAATGAAAAACATCTTATTATAAGTAAGAAATTATTAACTAATCGTCAAAAAACTTTTTGAGCTGAGTATAATTGAATATAAATCTGATGAAAACTCTATTTTCGAAAAGCGGAGTAAAACCCATATAATCTCAATTTTAGAAAATTTTTAATTTTCTTAGAACATGTTTACAAAACGATTGGTACAAAAAAAATTATACGCCCTTTTGGCATTTGGCACGCAATGTATCTTTGTTTTCGATCAATAAAAATTATCTTTTTAAAAAAAAAAAAAAAACCCGGTTCACAGGTCAGATGAGCTGGAACAAGCGCTGAAAAGCGAGCAGTTCTGGGACTACTGCCGCGGAAAGGCGGAGACTACTTCTGATGAGCATTTCAAGCGCGTGTGGAGCTACGTGGCTGCTTACTTCAGCGAGGACATCACTAGGACCTTCCTGGACCTCCTGGGGTACAACGTGCTCCAAGTAAACGAAAAATTGAAGAAATTATTGCCAGATGAGGACATTAACACAGTGACTGACGGTGTCGCTAAGATGGATGCCGGTAGCCTTCAAAATGGCGGATTCGACGGCAGCGCCGCCTTCGACGCGATTGCGCAGCAAGAACAGAAGCGACTCACTCTTTCGCCGAAGCTTCAGTCGGTAATGAAGTTTAATACTTCCGACGACGAAGACGGCTTGATAACCCAGGCGATTCTCGTCGGGAATATTGAAGCCGCGGTGTCGCTGTGCTTCGCGAGCAAGCGCTACGCTGACGCTATTGTGCTCTCCATGGCTGGAGGGCCGGACCTTCTGGCCAGGACACAGTACAGGTATTTCAGTGAACACTCCGGAGCGCTAAACTCGCTGATTAATTCGGTCGTCAGCGAGAACTGGGTTGACATTGTTAATTCCGGAGATGTTTCTTGCTGGAAGGAAACTCTGGTTGGGATTTTCACTCATTGCAACGGCGAGGAGTGCGCTGCGCTTTGCGACGCTCTAGGAGACCGTCTTGCGAAGACAGAAGACCCTGCGCTGAAGAAACACGCTCAGATTTGCTACATCTGCGCGGGGAATCTCAATAAAATGATTTCTGTTGCGGACACCGATATTCAGGAGACTGTCGAGCTGGTGATGGTGATGAAGCGCGCTCTCGAGCTCCAGGGAGTCAAGAGAGTCGAGGTTGATGGAAACATCGCTGGAGTCTTGTCCCAGTACGCTGAAATTCTCGCCAGTGAAGGCGACCTCGAAGCTGCGCTTAATTATCTTGGAGATGGCCAGGATCCGCGCATTGTCATGCTGAGAGACAGGTTGTGCAAGGCTTTGACTTACTTGCAGCCAGCTCAGCCAACTCAAGCGCGGCAGCAAGTCCAAGGACAACTGGGACAGTTCAATCAGATGCCGCAGAAGCCGGCTCAGAATTTCTACACTCCTGCTGCTTCGAAGCCCAACTACCAGCCGACCCAGACCTGGAACACCAGCCCGCTCCAGAATTCGTACGTGATGGGTGGCCAGCAGGTCCAGACTGTCCAGCCTACCAGCCAGCAGCCTCCTAATGTTTACTCGCCGCAAATTCTCCAACCCCAGACCCCTCAACCGCCTCCTAGTTTGATGACCCAGCCGCCGCAGAGTTCTGGAGGAAGCCAATCAGGATCTAGACCGCCGAGTGTCGGTCCCCAGTCCAGGCCCAAGTACATGATTGATCCTTCGGTCAAACCTGCTTACAGTGGCTACGGCCCTCAGCCGGGATACAATCAAAATTCTTATCAGCCCTATGGAAATTATACGGCCAGTTCCTATGGGCAGGAAGCTGAACAGTTCAAGCCGAATATCATGACACCGGCGTTACCGGCCAATCCACCTTCTATTTATGATCCAAGACCTCAGCAGCAGCAGCAGGTGACTCAGAACCCTCAAGGGTTTGTTAATGAACCAGCTTATCAACCTGGCTCTCATAGTTCTGGGTGGAATGATCCACCTATTGCTAAATCTGCGCGTGCTCCGGTAATTTTTTCATTATTATAATTATTTATTTTAGTAAAATTTTTTTTATTAAATTTTTTATTATTATTATTATTAATGTTATTATTCAAAATTTTTTTTTCCAATATTATGTGCTTAGATAATTTTTTTTTAATTTATTTTTTTATAATTATTAATTTTGGTATTAAAAAAAATTTTTTTTAATATTATGTCCTGAAATAATTTATTTTGTTGAGGTAATTTTTTTTTATTTTTTTTTTTTATTGTTATTTATCTCAGCAGTAAAAAAAATTTTTTTCAATATTGTAAATAATTATTTTATAGAATTATTTTATTTAGGTATTAAAAAAATATAAAAAATTAATTATTTAAAATGATTAAACTAGCCAGTTTTGGCACTGTACACCAAAAACGAAATCTCGGCAGAACACGCGGGCACAAGAAGATGGCGAGCTAATAAGAATAAGAACTCGAAGAGTACTAAGGTAGTTTAATAGCCTTGTGGTGATATGTGGAATGGTTTTTATTGGTTGAAATATTTATTATCAATCAGGTGTTATTGATCTACAATGTGTTAATGGATATTTAACACAGCTTATGCACATAAAAACGAATCATTATTTTTATTTATTTATTTTTTTTACATGACAAACATCGCACGAGGGGATCGTGTAGAGGATCATTGCCTTTTTTTATTATAATATTGTAATTATTTTGTTGTTTATAAAAAAATTTTAATTGGTGATTCGGTGTTACAGGCACCTGCAGAGGTTCCTCAGCAATCTCCTATCACTCATCCGCTATTTGGAGCCGCTCCTCAGCCAGAAATTAATAATGTATGTATTATTTTTTCAGTGTATAATTTTTTTTAATTATTTTTTTAAATTATTTAACTAAGAAAATAATTTTGAACTTCAATTTGAGTTTCATTGTCTGGAATTTAGACTAAAAATTTTTGGATTAAGTAAAATTTACTTAAATTTTATGACATTAAAGTTAGCAGTCATTTGACCACTTTTTAATTTTTTTTTAACAAACAAAATTATTTTTTAAAAATTGCATTTTTAATTTTTCAAAATTTCTGCATGTCAATTTTTTTTTATAACTTTTTTTTTTGCCATAATTTATTTGATAAAAACATTCTTAAAATTACCAAACATCTGCTAGATTAAGTTTCATTAAATTTATTAATTTAAGAATTTTTCAAATCAAGAAAATTAAATTCTTCAAATTTATTTATTTAATTCAATTTTTTTCTGTGGAAAATTTTATTTTTTTTAATTAATTTTTAATTTAGATTAATTGGTATTATTATAATTATTTTTTTACTTTTTTTAACAGACAATGCAGTCAGAGTACCATCAAGGCCCGCCAATGAGTAATTACAATTACAATCAGGGATATGGCCAGAATATGATGAATGAAAGTCAATACAAACCTTTTGAACCCATTAAACCTGTACAACAACAACAACAACATGCACCCGAAGTTGCAAGAGAAGTTGTACCTGAAAAGCCTAAAGCGCCTATACCTGAACAGCATGTTCACTTGAAGACTATTCTTGATGAATTGAGAATTCAGTGCTATGACACTGCTAAGAACCCGGTAATTTTTTTTTTTTTATTAATTAATCTTAAAGATATAATCTCATTCCGACATTGCACTCATCGAGACCTTTCATTTGAGCACCCACATCAATTTTTCATATATTTATATATTTATATATAATATATATGTATATATGAAAAATATATCAAAAATGCATGTGGGTACTCAAATGAAAGCTCTTGATGAGTGTAACATCGAGATGAGCTTATATCTTTAAAAACGTCAGTAGTTAAGGAAATTCAGTGTAATTTAACAAAAGTCATTATTTAATTAAGCAAAATTTTATTTATTTATAATTTACAAATCACGGCAGTTAAATAGTGACGGCAAGGTTGCTAGTTAATGTATTAATTTATTAATTTAAAAAATTATTTTTAGGCAATGAAAAGAAAAATTGAAGATGTCTCTAAAAAATTAGAAGTTTTGTATGATTGCCTTCGTGATAATACGGTAAGAAACAACAAATATTTAAAAAAATTTAATTATATATAAATTTGAAATAATTTATTTAAAAAAAAAAAAAATTTCTTTCCAGCTCTCGCAAAATACTTTACAAGGACTTCATCAAATATCCCAAATGATCCAGTCCGGTAATTACCAAAACGGACTGGCAGTACACACGCAATTAGTATCTGGGCCAGACTTCAGTCAAATCGCCTCTTTCATGCCCGGAATAAAAGTCTTACTGCAAAGCGCACTGCAATTAGGAGTTTACATTACGTAAAACATTTTTAAATTCATTTATTATATATATTATATATTTTATATTTTTTTTGGTAAAATAATTAATGATATTGTTTGTTTGAACTGAAGAATTTATCCTTGAGAAAAAAGCTCGCTGATAATTCCAACGAGTTATAAATAAATAAATACCAATTATCATTGATATTTCAATAAGTGATTAATTTTTTTGTAATTAATTATACAACTAGACTTATAAATAATTATAAATGTTAATATAATAATAATATATCATAATTAATATAAAATTGTTTTTTTTTTTAATTTTTTTAAAGTTAATAAGATTTAAAAATTTAGAAAAAAATAATTGTTGGTCGATTTAATGCGGCAATTAATTTTTTTTTTTGTAATTGGTGTAATTATTAAATTAGGTAGGGTAAATATAAATAAAATTATATATGTAAGTAAAGCCAAATTATATAAAAAAAATTTTTTAAATAAATTACAGCGTATTTTACGCGTTTTATTTGCTAATTGTGTTATAAATTATTTTTATTTATTTTTAAGAAGGTGGGTGTCCATATTAGATCTAAAACTCGATTTACGGGGGGAAATCCATGTAAAAGCCTTAAAGTCGTTCATTTTTTTTAAATATTTTTAAAGGTGATAAAATAATTTTATTGTTTTTAAACTTTAACACAACTTCCAGCCGCTCCATTATAATAGTTATAACTTCCTCAATATTTAAGATTTTATTTTTTCCTCTTGTCAGTACATGCTCAACATACTATATTTTCAAATTATTGAAAAAAAAAAAATTCGATTTTTTGAAAATTTTACATGGACTTCCCCCCTAAATATTAAATTAACAAGTAAATTGGAATAATAAAAACAATTAATAACTTTAGTGTAATATTTTAATTTTCATAATTAATAATAATAATAATGAAGTACAGATGCCTTTATACAATATGTATAGATAAACGAAGTGATATAATTTTATTTTTATTTATTTTATTATTATTTATTATTTATTTATACTAAAACAATTCGCAAAATTATTATCCTTTTTATTTTTATTTATCAACTATAGAGAAAAATCAGATATGTTTTTTTTTTATTTTTAAATGTTCAGAGAATTTTTAACAATTTAAAGGAACTGCTGATTAAATATGATTAAATCATAATTCATACATTAACTTCACTCAAAATTATTGCATTGCAATTGATAAATGATTTTTTATAATTAAAAAACCAAAAATTTACTTGTAAAAAAATTTTGTTTAGAACAAAATTTTTTAGATTAAAAAATAAAATAAAAACTTACAGTTCCAAAAATTCTCTTACAATTAAATTTTCTACCTTACAGTGAAAAATTTAACTTAATAGTGCAGTTAAAATTAATTTTTGATTAGCTTTCTAAAATTACTGTATTAATGATTACTTAGACAATTTTTTCAACAGATCACTATTCAATATTTAGCTATTAATATATTTATTTATTTATATTTTTATATATATCATATATATATATTAATAAAAATCCATATATTTATCTTTATCATTTATTTAAAGTATATATTTATCTATACCATATATACTTTATATTTATAATATTTTACACTTTAACTATAATTTGTACAGTTATACATACTTACATCCCAACTCAACTTTTTTTTTATTAATTTTTTTTTTCCAACTACTTGTTTCGCATCATGAGCAACTATTTGATCGTTTTCAGTATCACTTGTTAAATTTCTAGCAATAAAGTTATTACTCAGTCGCTAAACGATGTAAATAACAATCGTCAAAAAAATTACGTGTACTCGTTTAATAATAATGACAACTAAATTAGAAGACACTTGACAATTTTTTTATTTTTTTTTTTAGATAAACAAGATTTTAAAAAATTTCATTTATTATTTTTAAAAACTTTTAATTTGGAATTTTATAATTTTTTAAAAAATTATTATATGTCAGCTGACTTTAGTATCATTAATAAAATTGAAGTTAGCAAACAGCTGTCATTTTTTCGTCTTTTTCAATAAATAAATAACAATGAAAAAAATTTTTCAAAGAGTTACAAGTGAAATTTTGAAGGGCCAGTTTTTCAATCCAATTTTATCCAGGATAAAATTATTATTGCCAGTATATTTATATTTATGAAATATATAGATATAATTATGAAAATTAAATTAGCCGACATTTGAAAATTTTTATAATTTATTTTATTGAAAAATAATTAATAAAAAATATCAAAAATTGTTGAGTGGCGGTTAACTTAATTTTCATATATATTTTATCATTGGATAAAATTTTATCCTGGATTGAAAATCTGGCCCTAAGAAAAAAATTTTTTTTATAATAATTTATTTGTTAAATAAAAATTCAAAAATTATTATGTCAGCTAACTTCAGTGAATTAATAAAATTGAAGCTAGCAAACCGCTCATTTTTTGGACTTTTCCAATAAATAACAGTGAAAAAAATTTTTTTAAAAAGTAGCAATTGAAATTTTTAAGAAAAAAAATTTTTCTATAATAATTTATTTCTTAAAAAAAGTCAAAATTAATTTATCAGATTTATAAAAAATTGTGACAAATTATAGCAAAAAAAAAGTTGACGTAGAAATAAAAAAAAAATTGCAATTTAAAAAAATAATTTCTAGATCAAATTTATTAAAAAAAAAAAAAAAAAAAATTATCAAGTGACAGCTAACTTAAAAATGTCATTTAATAACATATTTAATATTTGCGTAAGTAACCAAAAAAAGCTCACGATCAATAATTACCAAACTAAAATATAATATATCAATATAAGTATCACCTTTAAAAAGTACCAAGCAAAAAATAACAATAATAATGAATAATTAAATAAATTACATTAACCTCAACTATGTTGAGATTTCAATGACAGGTTCAGCAGTATTATTATTAAGAAGTTCCTGTTTATTCCTGCACTTAATCTCATACTGCTGCGCCATGGTCGGCGACTCTTTCCCCTCAACGGATAAATTATCTGCATCATCCAGAGGCGAGATTCCCTCCTCACTGTACTCGTCATCATCATAATCAGCTTCCTTACCATCCAACCTAGGAGGTAAATACGCCGGATGTGTCATTCCATAACTGCTATCGCTTCCATACGCGACTTTTCCCATAAAAGACCTTATTTCATCAAAATATGCATCCTCGCGCTCATTGTCATTGCTGCTGCTGGGGGAATCCGCGACAGAAACCACCACACTGCCATCATCAGCTTCATGTTTTTTAAGATGTCTGTCCAGGTTGGTCTGCTGACCGAAGCACCTCTCGCAAAGCGGACACTTGAACGGTCGCTGCTTATCATGAATATTCCTGACATGTCTCTGAAGATTGCTCGAGATACTAAAAGACCTCTCGCAGTGCTTGCACTTGTAAGGCTGCTCGCCAGTGTGAGTCCTCAAATGCCTAGTCAGATTCGCGCTCCTGGGAAAGACTTTCCCGCAGAACTTACAAGAGTACCGGTCCTTGACCTTCCCTGACACGTGGTGGTGGTGGTGGTGGGAGTGGGAGTGGGAGTGGGGGTGTGGGTGGTGCGGAGACATCACATTTTGAAAAGGCTTAACAGGAAAGCCGCCTAGAGGGTTGCGAGACAGAAGATCAAAGTCACCGCGGCTTCCACCAAGGTTGTTCATCAGGTTCCCTAAAAAAGGGATCCTGGGAGGTCCAAAGGGGTGCAATGGCGGGAGGAGCCTTGACTCGTTCGGCGGAGCTCCTGGGAACCCCGGAAAGGAGTTAGTAGGCCGGTACATCGCTTCGAGGAACATCGGATGGATCGGCCGCGGGTAAGCCATCGGCGGAGTCGGAGGATTTTCTCTGTGAGTGAGTCTAGGACTCTGAGCTTTTATTTCAGGCTCTGGCTTGTCTTCTCTCTCCTGTTTCAGAAGTTCTGAGTGGGGTTCTGCTTTGATTGGTTCTGCTTTGACTGGAACTTCCTCCAGAGGCGCCTCCAGAGCCACCTTGGGCTTCTTAAGCACCCTGAGATCCAAAGGCTGCTCAGATTCTTCAGTACTGCTCTCTCTCTTGAGCAGTTTGGTCTCCAGGATGCGTCTCTCCTCGTCGCTGTCTGCGCCAGGAGTAAGAGTAAGAGTAGGAGTAGGAGTAGGAGTAGGAGTAGGAGTAGGAGTCACCTGGACGGGCGGCCTCGCAGGAGAGGGTCTGAATGTCGAGGTAGCCTCCTCGGCCATGGAGGGAGAGACCTTGCTGGCCTGGGGCATGTGGGACATCTGGGGCGGAGTGAATCTTTCCTTTTTGGGACTTTCACTGCGTTTTATTTCTTCCCTCTTGACCTCAGGCGACTGCTGGTGCTGACTCGGCTGGGACTGGGGCTGCTGGTGCTGATGCAGCTTCGGAGGAAACAGCAGCGGGGTGTTGAGGAAACTCGGAGCGTTGGGGAACAGCCCAGGGTACGGCGGCATCAGGTTGTGAGGGTAGAACGGCAGGCCGCCGGGCAGTGAGACTGGCTGGCGCTGGTAGACTAAAAAGGGGTTGGAGGCCGTCGCTGAGGGCAGCGGCATCGTGCCAGATTGTCTGGCGGGCGTTCCTGGCGCTGAGGTTGAGTCGCAGAACCGCTTGTGCTTTGATAGAGATGTTCCGGAGCTGAACGACTGGCCGCAGCGGAGGCAGTTCTGCTGCATGCGGCAGGTGGAGTGCATCCGCTTGTGTCGGCACAGGTTTGAAAACTGGGTGTAGGCCTTGAAGCAGACCTCGCACTGGAACGGCTTCACGCTGCTGTGGATGTGGGTGTGCTGTTTTAGGCCTGAGCTGGTCGCAAACGTCTTTCCGCACTCTGTGCAAGCGTGGCTACGCGCCCCCACGTGGTTCGTACGGATGTGCCGCTGCAGGTTCGATGGATCCGTGAAGACCTGAGACGTGTTTGACTATTAGCTTTGGAAATGCTTTTATCGGGAGGGGATTTGGTGAAGATAAGAGGTTCTTGGGAGTGATTATTACCTTTGGGCAGTTCTCGCAAGGGTACTTTCGTAAGTCTCCGTGGATTATTGCCCGGTGGCGCACTAGCAGAGGACGCCAGGCGTATGCTCGGGGGCAGCTCTCGCAGATGTGTTGGTCTGATGGGTAACGGTGTCCTGTTACTAGATGATTGTCTAATCTGGAATTTGAAAAAAAATTTTTTGTTATGGCGAAAAATTAGGCTTTTTTTTGATAAATTTTTTTTAGGTGATAAAATTATCAGATTATTTTTAAACTTTATTTCAACTTAAGTTTAAAAATAATTTTTTTATTTATAAAATTATAACTTTTAATATCTTTAAAAAATTAATAAGTTTGGACTTTTTTTTTTTTTAAATACACTTTAAATAAAATTGCATTTAAAATTTAAGTGCACAAAAAAATTAAGTTGAATCAAGTAAATAATTTCAAATAATTTCATTTTTTTAATTTGAGTATATTTTTTTAAATTAAAAAATTTTTCTTGGTTTAAGTAAATTTTATTCAAGATTCAAGAATTTTTCATCGTGATTTAAATTAATTTTTTTTTTTTTCAGTGTGCAATAAATAATTAAAACTCAAATATAAGCAATAATTCGGTAAATATTTGATATTTTTATTTTTACTTTCAAAATATTATATAAGGTAAAAGACCCAGTTATTGACACTGGCCTAGTTATTGACCCTTGCAATTTTAATTTAATTAAAAAAAATAACTCTACTCTGATAAATTAATAAACATAATTTTTTAATTATAAATTTTAAGATAATTGGTTCTTTGAGAACATTTTACTTTTTTAATTAGAATAAAATTGCAAGTGTCAAACAACTAAGCCAGTGTCAATAACCGGGTCTTTTTACCTTTTTACAAAATATGAGAAAAATTTCGATTTTTGATAATTCACAGATTTTTTTTTTTAATTAATTTTGCTTAAAAATTATTGACGGAAGGCGTTCAAATTTTTAATATATTTCTGAAGTTAGTGATGCAATATTTTAATAATTTTTTTCAATTTTTAAACTAAAATTATAAATCAAATGTCACTATTAAGGACAAAAATAATTATTACGTCCAATAACTCCGTAAATATTTAATATTTTTAAAATATAAAAAATTTTTTTTTTAATTTTTAAAGAGAAGATTTTTCCATAAAATTTGTTATTGTTCAAGGTGTTGGAAGTTGAGTAAACTTGTAGCAGACGAGACTTGAACGGGAATCGGAAGCGAAAAGTACAAGGTGGAGAGTAGAGGCGATAAAAGAGTTTTTAGAGCTAGACCGAAGCAAAAGGTCTACCGGATGAATAAAGCGGAAGGGGTGAAAGGAGGAAAATTGTATCCCTAAAGATAGAGAGTTCGCCGCTTAAAGGAGGATGTTATGGTGTTGAGGGCATTGATTTTGAGAGAGTTAAGTGTCTTGACGTGTCGTGTTAACCCCGGTGAGATAGTACCGGTGACGGTGTTCCGAACCCAGATGAGTTTCGAACACGCAACCGCTGATGATATAGAGCCAAGGATAGAGAGACGCCGTTAATGCACAACACGGGCCTTCTATTTCGAGGAATTTTCACGATATAGGTGTAAATATGTCTGGAATGATCATCTACTGACAAGACACTTGACTACAGGTGCGACTTTGAATTTTTTACGACACTTCATCCATCAAACAAACCACTTTAATGCTTTTAGTTATGTTAATTTTTTTATTTTAGACTCATAAATTACTTGCGGTTTTATTTTTAAGGAAAAAATTAAAATAAATAGATTGAAATTTTTTTATTTATAAAAGAAAATTTTAATGAATATTTCATATTTTTTTTCCATTATTATTATCATAAAAAAATTATAATTTAATAATTTAGATTTTTATTAATTAAAAAAAAATTATTTTTTTTTAAATCTTTAAAAATTTTTATTAATTTAAAGAAATTTTAAAAATAATTTTTAGTAAAAAAAAAAAATATTTTTGATTTAATTTAATAAATAAATTAGTTCTAAGAAATTATTAAAAAAAAAATTTTTTTTTAATTTTTAAATGCAGAATTTTTTGTATTATAATTTATTTATCAAAAAAATTATAAAAAATAATTTTATGCAGTAATTTTTTTATAATAATAATTTGTTCACAAAAAAAAAAATATGATAAAATTGTGTCTTAAAATTTAATTTTTATAAATCAATAAAAAAATTACAATTGCCTTTAAATGAATCTTAAAAAAAAAAAAATAAAAACTTACAGTTCAAGATCTTGAAAGGGTTTATCACAAACTGGACACCTTATTTCACAATCTTCCTCGTCCTCGCGATCCTCATCGACAGTCCCACTGTGCTGCGATGCTGCAAAAAATTCAACCAGATAAATAAAAAAAATAAATTACAAATGTATGTAAATATTTAAGTAAAGAACATCACGATAATATAAATAAATAATCTGTGACATGTTCGATGGTAAATAGCGTGACGAATAGTAGCGCCGAGTCATAAAATATTTATTTTTAGAAAAATAATCTGCCACTGCGAAATGAATTTTAAAAACTAGAGAAAAAATAATTAATTAAATAATTACACTGTATGACTTGAGATGAGCTCGCGGTCGGACGGCCAAAATAAAATTTTTTTTATTAACTATCAAGGGATGAGAAGTGATGAGTGATGAGTGTAGATGGTTCACGATCCGACACAAAACTAAACTGGAGGTCGAAGACAATGCCACTGTTAAAGTGATGCTCCAGTTTAGCTCGCGGATTCCGAGTTATTATGTAGTATGTTGTGTGTTGTATGTTGTATGACACAAATGGTCGCCTGGGGGGTGACTATTGTTTGCTATTGGTAAGACCGGTGTTATAAACTAGCCAATGGGGGTAGAGTGTATTGGTGGTGTTGGTGTTGCTGTTGTTGTTCTCACCCCCGCGCTCTGTGTATGTGCCGGTTTAATATAAGTGACTTTTGTCCTATCCTGCATGCTATGCTCCTTCACTGGCTATGTATGTGCTTTCAGACCCCCCAGTGCACTCTAGACCCGAATGTCATGACAGCAGGCGAAATCAGGGGACCGAGAAATGTTGACCGGCTGAGTTTCAGCGCGATTTATTTCCATATTCAGGTGAAATATATGTTACTATGCGGGTAGGTGCAATACCAGGATTAACTGGATTCCGCAGTGGTATTTATCTTTTGACATTACCTTTTGACAATTTAAAGCTTTATTTTGAGACTCTGTTTTTTACTAAGCCAAGATTTTGAAGATTATTATTTTAGATTTTTTTTTATCTAAGCTTTAGATTGAAAGTGGAGAATTCATTTTTTTTATAAGGTGTAATTACATTTTTTAATAAATATTTTAGAGAAAAACTTTTATTTTTAGGATAAGAAATTTTTAAAATGAAATTTTAAATTTTATTAAAAAATTTTTAACAATAAAATTGAATTGAAATTAAGAGAAAAAATAATTTTTATCTAAGCTTTAGAATGAAAGTACAGAATTCATTTTTTTTTTAAATTGTAATTAAACTTTTTAATAAATATTTTAGAGAAAAACTTTTATTTTTAGGATAAGAAATTTTAAATTTTATTAAAAAATTTTTAACAATAAAATTGAATTAAAATTATGAAAAAAAAAATGATTTTTTTTTTTTTTTTTTTTTTTCAATTTAAAAATTAAAAAATTCAACTGAAAAAATTAAAAAAATTTTCTAAAGTTGAATTAAAATTAAGAAAAAATTTAATTAAAATTTTTTTAATTAAATTAAATATCTAAAATTTGATTTATAAAATATTTAACAATAAAATTGAATTAAAGATTGAAATTTTTAATTAAAATTTATTGAATTAAATTAAATATTCAAAATTTGAGTAAGAAAATTTTTTTTTCTAACTATAAATTGTGAAAAATTTGTTTAATAAAAATTTTTTGATTTAAATTAAATATTAAAATTTTCTCAATTGATGATAAATTGAAAATACATTGATAAAACCAGTATCCTGTAAAAAAATTCCCATGAGAAAAATAAAGTCGTAACGTAAAAAAATAACGATAAACAAATAAGTTTCATAAACCGGAAAAGAAAGTATCAGTGGTTACATCGGTGATCCTCGGGTGATCAGGGCTATCGGGAGTCGAGCTCTCAACGGTTATTTAAATCTCCTAGTGCACTTGTCCTCCTATTATCCACCATATGCTGCGATCGTGATGTTACCCCCAACGAACCTTCATGGGAACCGGGCACAGTTATAACCACCGCGCAGCCCCGTATGCTCTTTGTACACATTCATACATATAAATATCTCTTTATACACACATACACACATATGTGCAAGGATAAATATAAATATATACCTCCTACGGTAGCGTTGATCGCTCCACAACTAATTTGACGTAACACGCCAGGAATTTAGACAATGGTGCGGTTGACCTACACGACTAACTTTTTACGCAATCGCTTTATAACGATCGTTTACGCCTATAAAAACTATCGTGACCTAGCAAATAAATAAATATTATCATTATATTTATTTTTTTTTTCAACCTCCTTCATATCTCTGTTTTTGGAAAAAATATTTGCAATTTTTTAGACAAAAGTTTCATGGTCTTCAATATTTAATTCAAACTTTAACAATTTTTTTTTTAAATTACTTTTTTTTTGTTTGAAAAAAATGAAAATGATTTTTTTAATACCGTAAATTTTGCAATATAAAATTTTTATGAAAAAAAATTGACATTTTTTCAAATATCTTTTTTTTTTAATATTAAAATTTTAAGAATTTATTTTTATGAATTTTTTATTATTGGAAATCTGCTGAAAAAAAAAAAAATAATAATAATAATCTACGTTATTAAGAGAATAAGCAAAATTTTGTGGCCAGTGTATTTATATAATAAAATGGGTTTTTATAGTTAAATTTGGTATCGTTGAAAAAGTCTTGAAGTTGTTCCTTTTCATGGTTTCATATCATTCTCACCAATAGTCAATTTATGATGATGAGTATTTAGGCTGTATTAAAAAATGCTCTATCTCTAGACACATAATTAAGAAATGACCTTGTATCTGGTGAACTATTGACATTTTTAAAGATGTAAACTCATCCCGACGTTAGACTCATTGAGACCTTTCATTTGAGTACCCACATCAATTTTTCATATATTTTATATATTTATATATATATATATATATATGAATATATGAAAAATATATCAAAATGCAAGTGAGTACTCAAACGATAGCTCTTGATGACTGTAACATCAGGATGAGCTTATATCATTAAAAACGTCAATAGTTAAGAAAATACAGTCTAATTTAACATAATTAAGATATGACCTTGTATCTTGTGAACTATTGACATTTTTAAAGATGTAAACTCATCCCGATGTTACACTCATCAAGACCTTTCATTTGAGTACCCACATGCATTTTGATATATTTTTCATATATACATATATATAATATATATAAATATATGAAAAATTGATGTGGGTACTCAAATGAAAGCTCTTGATGAGTGTAACATCGGGATGAGCTTGTATCTTTAAAAACGTCAATAGTTAAGAAAATACAGTGTAATTTAACAAAAGTCATTATTTAATAAAGCAAAATTTTATTTATTTATAGTTCACAAGTCACGACAGTCACATAGTGATTGCAAGGTTGCTAGTCAGTTATTAAGCTCAAAATTAAGATTTAATAATTATTAATTTTAAATTAACGTTACGAATAATAATAATTAAAAAAAAAAGTAATAATAATAATTTGATAAAAAAAATGGTTAAAAATGTGAATCTCTTATTTTTCATACAAAAAAAAATCAAATGACCATAAAACCAAACAAAACTATTAAAAAATTAAAAATAAAATAAAAATTTACTTAACAAATAAAACTTTATAAAAATAAATTTTAATTAGTACGTAATGTTTTCTTATAAAAGCCTAATTTTGAATCTAGCTTATAAAAAATATTAAAAATAATTGAAACTTAAAATTAAATTAGAATTGATTATTGTCAGCGTGTGATAAAATTTAAAAAGGAATAAAAATTAGGATAGCAAGCTGTTGGAATATTATGTTAATAAAGTCTCGAAGAGAATCGGCTGGAGTCACGTTGCGGAAAGTCAACAGGTGGGCATCTACTGAGAATCAACAGCACCCCCTGCCAAGTAAAGTCACTTCGTCAGTTCGTCAGTTGGCCGTTTGCGTTTACATTTGTATTGCATGGGAAAAAGTAACGGAAATCAATGTCACGTCCTTAATACATATATATAAATATATAACGTTCTTCCGATACGAGTACACATCCTCTTACATAACACCCGAACCGTTTACCCCACCACACCTTTGTACTTATTTACATCTAATTTATACCCAATACACTGTTATACATATTGCATGCAACTTAAATAAATAAAAGTAATGTTTTTCGCTTGTATTAGTTTATTTGTGGATCATTAGTCGAATGAATTAGATCATACGCGAGATACGAGATGAGAGATGAAATCCTCCCCTGTCGCGTGGCTTTTGTTAGAGGCTACCCCTTTGCGACATTTTTAACCCCGTTACGCGCGTGTTAATCGACAATGAAAGTCATAAATTATCTAAACCCTAATAGAGATATTGAGCACAATCAGCCTCATAGACATAGATATACATTTATAGAGATAGATATAGGCTGTATAAATATAAAATATTACTGCGTTTAACATTGATCCCGTTGTATACAAGCTGTATATTACGCAAGTGATAAACTAGCCATAACATTTGGTACTACGCCTCTTTTTGCGGTTCAAAACTTTTTTTTTTGGATTCATTGTTCATAAATATATTTTATTTTTTTTATAAAAAAAAATACATTTTTTAAATTATATAAAATATTGTTTATTAATTTATCAAGTTCAAATTTATTCAAAATATTGAATATTTTTTAGGAAATATTTGATTGAAAATTTTTAATATTAAAAAAACTAAAGAGTATAATTTTTATTCAGTGCGGCTGCCCAATTTCAAAACACAGCAACTAACATTTAAAAATTTTTTCTACTTTTTCTTATTAAAAAAAAGTTTACCCGCCAAATTGATGAAAAATTTGATTTATGAATAGAAAATACTTGAATATAAATATTTTTAAGAAAAAATACTTGAAATTAAGGTCTAAAAGTTATAACAAATGCAGCAATACTAAAAAAAAAAATCAGGTATAAAAATTTTGCAGTTACTGTGTTTTAAAATTGGGCAGCCGAGTGGATTAGTGACTATTTAGAAAAACAAATTTTAAAATTAATATTTTTATATTAATAAATTTATTTATTTATTAAATATAAGCTATTATGTTTTAAATTTTAATAAATTTACTTTTAGAGAGAAAATAATATTTATTAATAGTTAAAAAATACTTAGTATTGAATGTTTCTTGCTTGCAATATTATATTAATAATTTCTATCAAAAAAATATTCTCTAATCCATAATTATAATTTTTCATAAATTATTTTATTTATAGGGACAACCTCACAATTCATCTCCTTCAGCGCTTTCAGATATTTTTATATTAATAAATTTATTTATTAAGAAATAATTTATTAAGTATAGGCTATAATTTTGTAAATTTTAATAAATTTATTTTTAGAGAGAAAATAATATTTATTAATAGTTAAAAAATACTTAGTATTGGATGTTTCTTGCTTGCAATATGAAATTAATAATTTCTATCAAAAAAAATATTCTCTAATCCATAATTATAATTTTTCATAAATTATTTTATTTGTTAAATTTTAATTTATAAAAAATCTATTAATTAACCCAATTTGTTGGAATTTTTTTAATCAATCCAAGTTATAAAGTTACAAAAAGTGTCTAAATAAAATTTTAACACTTACTTTTTATTCAAGGCTCCAAATAAATTTTTATTTTTCATTATAAAATATTTTTTATTAAAAATAAATTTATTAACAGTTAATAAAGCTTATTAAATTTATCAAAAAATCTTTCTATCAGTGTATTGATAATGTTTAAAAATCTATTTTTTTATTATCTAACAGATTAAAAAAAATTTATTTAAAATTTCAATTAATTATTGTACATAAATCAGATGCATTAAACTAGTATATAAATCCCCAGTTTAAGCCGCCGTAAGAGCGAGAAAATTTGGCCATCTAGCGTGGCTCCCAGAAACTAATTTTTAAAAACTTCTCCAGCCTAATAAATCCAATATATTAACAAACAAAACTGAGATAAAAAAAAAAGAGTCGTAACTTTTTGCAGATGCCACGTGCCAAAATGCAAAGTTGGGTGATGTGTAGAGCATAATATCTTATTGTGTGCTTACAAATCTGTCGGGCATTTAAAATGCGTATCTGCTTTATAGAAACGCTCCCCACGTAGGCGTGTTAAAACGAATCCGTGGAGGCAGAGCCAGACAAAAAATGAAAGAGGCTGCTGGCAGACGCAGATGCACCCAAGGGTTAGTATAGGTAAAGGGGTCTTTGATATCATTATTCTCGATCCTCTGCAAATTTTTACGCAATCATCTACTCTCTCTTATTTTTTTTTACTCAATTTTTCTAGCTTAAAAATTAATTAGTTAATTTTGTCCAGAATTATTTTCACCGACTTTGAAATTTTTTTATTGAAAATAAAGACACCCTTTACCTTCTGCTTTTACTTTATACCTTCTACCCTGCGCTCTGACATCCGTAGGCGGACAGTCGCTTCCATAATTACACGTAAACATTTAACCGGAACCGGCGGCCGTTTCCGGGGCAGCTTTTACTTCAGCCAAAGCCCGATAATTTAAAACCATTTGCGTACAATCATAAACAATTTAGAGTACATTTGCGATTGCGAGTAAGTTAATGGCAAAGTCAATTGAATTATTTTTCGGAGGGCAAAACTTTGTAAATATTGTGATATTTTATTAAAATTTAAATCGCCGGTACGCGAGTCAAATTCAAAGTTTTGCTCCAAGGAATAATACAAGCTTTGTTTTAATTACTGCGACATCTGGGGATCACATTTAACCACCCTCTAGTTTGTACTCCCGAACAAAATTACAACTATGATAACTCGATAACTATTACGACATTTGCGCCTCGTAAACTATCTCGAGAGAGCCAAAAAATTTTGTTAATTAAATTGGGGTAAGAAACCGGTTAACGGATTAAGATTTTTTTATTACCCTGTAAATTTTTTTAATTGCTCATCTATTTATTTTATTTTTTTTATTGATTTTTTTTTTAATATCAATAACAGTTTTTATTAATATAAAATTTTATTCTTCATTTCTATCAATTTTTTTTTCGTAAAAAAATTAAAAACTATAATTATAAACAATAGAATAATAGAAAAAAATTTTTTATTTTTTAATAAGCTGTATTAAATTTTAATTTTATCAATAAATATTAAAATTGTACATTAAACACAATATTAAAATTTCTAATGACTCGATATAATTAATATTTTTGCTTAATTATTGAGAAAAATTAATTTGTGGCCGTTAATTAAAAACAAGTATAAAAATTCTATTTTAAAATTTTTACAACTCTAAAATTTAAATAAAAAAAAATAAATTCTATTTAATTATGTAAAATTAAGTTTCTTTATAAAAAAAAAAATTCTAAAAAATTAAATAAATAATAAAAATTGATTATAATGGAATATATATTTTATTTGATAGTGCAAATTGTAAATATAACCAAAAAAGACTCATTTAGTTTTAAAAATATTTTTTATAAATTTAATTTTCTTCCCAAAAAAAATATTTTTTACTTTAATAAATTGATAAACTATCAGTGAATATTAAATAAATAATCTAATTAAAAAAAATAGAAAATCTATTTTTATTTTTATAAAAATAATAAAAAAAATAATTAAACTCTAATTATTTTTGTAAATAAAAATTATAGTAAAGTTAATTGATGATTGTGGATAAGTAATAATATTTTGACCTCTTGCAGCCGTTGGTAATTTACAAAAAAAAAAAAAAAATAATAAAAAAGGTTGAGGGTCAATTTGGCATTAAAGTAGATCGAGTAACGACTAATCTGTCGAGTGGGATCGTGGTGGTGAATAGTGTATTGTGCGCGGCACACGCGGGGACGATAGTTATAGCTATAGTCGTAGTTATATTGTAATCGTTAGATAATCAGTGCATTAAAAAGTCGAGTGCGGAGCGTGGAGGCGGTAGGTGGTGAAACGGTGTCCAGGTGAATCACGACGGGAGTCACAGAGCCATGACGAGCAAGTCATGATGGCTTTTTACAGTAGAATATTCTGAACACGATTTACCCTCCACTTGTCCTCGATCTCGATCCCTCGTTCGTATTATATATATATATATATATGAACCCCGAGAGTGCCAGTATCGTTACAATTGCCATTAACCATCACCTGCCTGCTTGCAGTCACCAGTCACCAGTTACCAGTCACCAGTCGGCAGTCAGTATCGTAATTGTATGCACACGAGCTCGATTTGTATCTGATTTAGTGGATTACCCAGCTCCCAGGTATTCTATATCCGGCTGAATGGTATGCTCTGTTACATTATTGTGGGTAATGTATGTGTCGCGTGCTACCAATAATGTAAGGCCTACTCGATTTACTCACCAGTCTCGCGGTCTGTCCTGTCTTCGGTGGTGTTCTCTCCCAGCATGTCTTGCAATTGGAGCGGCTCTCTCAACCCCATCAGAAGCTCTTCACCTGAAGAAATTTCTCTCAGTGTTTCGTAAACCATCTGAAAATAATTTTTTTTTTATATTTATAATAATTAGAGTTTTGTAAAAACAAATTAAGAGTATTTTTCTTTTTTTTAAATACAAAATTGTAAATTTAATTTTTTCAAAAAATACATAATCACATTTTTTTTTTAATTTATCAGAATTTAGTCTAAATTTTTATTGTTAATATTATTATTATTATTATTATTATATTCAATATATAATTCGAAGATTGGTGTTTTTACTCAATAAAGCGATAGTTATTATTTTTAGCCCAAATACGCGATTCAATTTAAAGACTAATCAATTTTTATTATTATTCTTTCGCCAAATTTTTCGGTGTGAGATCTTATACCATTCTCAGGTGTTGTAAATACAACAACAACAATTATTATTATTTGAGATTTAAACATTTTTATAATCTATATTATTAAGAGAATAAGAAAAATTTTGTGACCAGTGTGTTTATATAATAAAATGTGTATTTATAGTTGAATTTGATATCGTCGGGAAAATCTTGACTCTTTAGGCTGTATTAAAAAATGCTCTATCTCTAGACACTTAATTAAGAAATGCCCCTGTATCTTGTGAACTATTGACATTTTTAAAGATATAAGCTCACCCCGACATTACACTGATCGAGACCTTTCATTTAAGTACCCACATCAATTTTTCATATATTTTATATATATTTATATATTTCACAAATATGTCATATATATAAAATATATAAAAAATGTCATGTGGGTACTCAAATAAAAGCGCTTGATGAGTGTAACATCAGGATGAGCATATATCTTTAAAATATATATAATATATATGTATATATGAAAAATATATCAAAAATGCATGTGGGTACTCAAATAAAGGCTCTTGATGAGGGTAACACCGGGATGCGCTTATATCTTTTAAAACGTCAATATTTAAGAGATAACAGTGCAATTTAACAAAAGCCATTATTTAATAAAGCAAAATTTAATTTTTAATATTTATTATTTGTTAAACATAAAAAAAATGACGCCCCAAACGCTGTGTTAAATAAGACTGACTGATATCTTTATATGTTTATAAGATTTATTGCTATAAGTTAAAATTTGTAAGCAATTAAATTAAATAAATTTTTTAATATTTAATTAAGTAAATAATTGAAATAAAAAATTTTACTTCATAATAAATTTTTCTACTTTTTTAAAAATTTTATTAAAAAATAAAAACTAATAAAAAATTTTTAAAAATACAAAATGATGGAATAGAAGCGTAAAGTCTGTAAAGAAGTCGCGTATAATATAAGGGTGGAAGATTAAACCGGGAACCAGGGGCGCCAAGGCCAGAGAATGTGTCGGCGAGACACACGATTTGTGTGATGGACAACGCATGATGTGGGTGCGATAATACTTGTCGTAAACTTATAGTCTATCCCGTTCAGTTATTAACTCACCCCTCACCCCTAGCGCCCTCTTAGACCTACTGTCTCTGAAGTTTGGAGTTAATAATAATTTTGTATCGAGAAAACTCATCGATATCAAAGTCGAAACATATGTCAATTTTTATTGCTTTATTTATTTATTTTTTTTTTAATTTGAAATTAATTTTCCTAGAAATAATTAATGAATATGAAAGTATAAATATAAATTGCAAATGGCACGTGTCGGTCCTCGGTTGTTTGAAACCAATAAAACAAATATCGCCAACAGAAGTGAGTTATTAAAATAAAAACAGATGGTATTGATTAAATTAATTATGAATAACTGATAAATTATTTTACCTGTCCGGCGACGAGAACGTGGCGCATATTGACGGCATGTGGACTAGCAGTGCTGCGAATGTATTTTAGCCAATTACTCGGCTCATGCGAGGCATCCAGCCATCCTCTTACTCCGTTTCCTGGGACACGAACCTGAAAATATTCAAATAATATTTATTTAATTTATTTCTTTATTTTTTGATAAAATTGTTATATTATTTTAAAAAATTCTTTTAAAAGTTTTAGCATTTTTAAAAAATAAAATTGAAAAACTGTTATTTAGATACATTTTTATTTTAAATAATAAAAACTAGCAACCTTGCAGTCACTATGTGACTGCTGTGACTTGTGAACTATAAATAAATAAAATTTTGCTTTATTAAATAATGACTTATGTTAAATTGCACTGTATTTATTTAAATATTGACGCTTTTAAGGATATAAGCTCATCCCGATGTTACAGTCATCAAGAGCTTTCATTTGAGTACCCACATGTATTTTTGATATATTTTTCATATATACATATATACATATGTATAATATATATTTTAAAGATATAAGCTCATCTCGATGTTACACTCATCAAGCGCTTTTATTCGAGTACCCACATGCATTTTTGATATATTTTTCATATATACATATATATATTATACATAAATATATAAAATATATGAAAAATTGATGTGGGTACTCAAATGAAAGGTCTCGATGAGTGTAATGTCGGGGTGAGCTTATATCTTTAAAAATGTCAATAGTTTAGAAATGACATTGTATTTTTGGTATATTTTTCATATATACATATATATATTATACATAAATATATAAAATATATGAAAAATTGATGTGGGTACTCAAATGAAAGGTCTCGATGAGTGTAATGTCGGGGTGAGCTTATATCTTTAAAAATGTCAATAGTTTTCAAGATACAAGGTCATTTCTTAGCTATGTATCTAAAGATGGAACATTTTCGAATGCAGCCTAAATACTTATCATCATAAATCGACTATACTCTTAATAATATAGATTAAATTAATTTAATCCAGAAAATTATAATATTAAATTTCTATAATAATTAAAAAAAAAATTTTACGTAATTTTGATTTTTCTAAAAATTAATTTCTATTTTTTTAAATTTAAAAAAAAATTAAAATCAACTCAGAAATTTTAATAAAATTCTATAAAAAGTACTCAATTTATTATAAAGTAAAATTTCATAAATTAATAAAACATTTGAAATAAATTTTAAAGATTGATAAAAAATTTTTTTTTATTAAATTATGATTATTATTAATGTTTGGGATTATTATTGCTGAAAGAGGCTTTTAGGACAAGTGATTTTGTTGGATTGTCTTATTGAACCGCATAGTTGGGGTCGTCGCGACGCATGACCGGCCAAGCGTCGCGATTTATCCCCCGGCAGCCGGCACCCTAATTTAGCTCATGTGTTAGTTGATGTTGAGACACATCACCGAGCCCCCAGCAGAAACAGGAGCGAAGTACAACTAGTGCAGAGCAGAGGACAACAACTATCGCTTGAGTTTTATCGTTAGTTATGAGCAGAACGGAGCAGAGACTCCCCTTTACACTTGTGACATCATCAACTACGCCCTGACCGTCCACGGTACAAACTTCTTGCTCTTGTTGTTATATTATTATTATTATATTACATTATATTTTATTATAGGTACTATTGTTGGTGTTATTTATGCACTTGTCGTCATCCAGATCATTGTCATCTGGGCGTGAGAAATTATTTTACAGCATCCATCAAGTGAATTATAATTTATTGGGCTATTTGTAATGGTAGAAATTTTTTTTAATTCTAAATTATTTAAAAAAATATTATTATTGAATAAGAATTGGTTCTATTTGTTTTTTTATTTGCACTTATTAAGAGATACCTTAATTGGGTGAAAAAAAAATTAACAATTTTAGAAAAAAATTCTTAAATCATGTAAAATTTACTTAAAGGTCTTAAAAATTATATTCTTGACTCAAAAATTTTTCTTTTAAATTAAATTATTTTTATCAGTGTACTTTTCGTTGCACTTGTACAAAAAATTGAAACTTAAAAATTAAATTTATCATTATCAAATAAAAATAAAAAAAAGCGCTCTGTCATATTGTGAAAAAATTAATTTTTTAAGAGTTTGATAATTTTAAATCAAGTAAAAAATTCTTTAACTAAAAAATTATAATGATTCGTGAATTCTATTTGATTTAAGAATTTTTTTATTAAAATGTTCAAATTAAAAAAAATTTTTTTGATTTAAAAATATTTTTTCTCAAATAAAATTATTTTTATTTGTATAAAAAGTAGACTTACAAAAATTTTATCAAATATTAAAGTCGGGTTTTTTTTTTTTTTTTAATTGAAATTGAAATAAAATTAATTGTAAACTAAAATAATTACGCGAAAAATATTTACCACCTGCCGACAATAGTAACAACGTTAATAATCGGGGCAGAATCAATAACCAAGTACAAGTGGATAAGTTAGGTAATGAACATGTAGCAGTAGAACAGCAAAGAACAACAATAACTCATCGAGCGGAGCGTGATCATCAGCCCGGCATCACTCTGCTACCAGGATATTATCACCGTAATGCTCTCCAAGCCGGATAGCTATATAATAGACATCTAGCTTGTAAGCATATGTAAGCGCGAGCTTCCGAGGATCTTCTTTGCCCGGATAATCCCTCACCATTTAAGTGCATTCACATTTTTAACATTACAATAAAAATATTTCATTTTTTGTCCTTGTACTCTTTTGTACTCGAACCATCTTCTTATTAATGCTTCAACACTTCTTCCTTTTCGGAGAATAGATTTTTCAGAATTTAACTGTTCGATATTTTTATTGAAGTTTCGATCCAGTGGATACTTTTTAAAAATCAATGGATATTTCAGATGAATTTTACGGAAGTAAATTATTTTTTTCTAAAGTTATTGATTAATTTGTTTATTTGATTTTTTTTTTATTTATTAAAAGTAACTAAAGTTTTTAATAATATCAATAAATCTATATTGTTAAGAGATAAGCAAAATTTTGTTAAGAGATAAGCAAAATTTTGTTAAGAGATATATTGTTAAGAGATAAGCAAAATTTTGTGGCCAGTGTGTTTATATGATAAAATTGGTTTTTATAGTTAAATTTGGTATCGTTGGAAAAGTCTTGACTTGAATTTGCGCCTTTTCAAGGTTTCATATCATTCTCATCGATAGTGAATTTATTATGATTTAGGAAGTATTTAGGTTGCATTCGAGAATGCTCTATCTCTAGATACATAATTAAGAAATGACTTTGTATCTCGTGAACTATTGACATTTTTAAAGATATAAGCTCACTCCGATAATACACTCGTCGAGACCTTTCATTTGAGTACCCACATCAATTTTTCATATATTTATATATTTCACAAATACCATATATATATATATATATATATATATATATAATATATAAAATATATAAAAAATGCCATGTGGGTACTTAAATGAAAGGTCTTGACGAGTGTAACATCAAAATGAATTTATATCTTAAAAAATGTCAATAAATAAGAAATGATCTTGTATCTTCTGAACTATTGACATTTTTTAAGATATAACCTCATCCCGAGGATACATTCGTCGAGAAATTTCATTTGAGTACCCACATCAATTTTTCATATATTTGATATATTTATATATATGTATATATGAAAAATCCTAATATAAAATTGAGATGAAATGTATGTGGCATCAAACTATTCGTAACGTGATTGGTCGAATATATCATAAGCATGAAAATATATGCAAACTCTATATAGTCAAGGCGCGCGCTTGCGCGCGTACATTTGAATTCTAGTATATCAAAATGCATGTGGGTACTCGAATGAAAGCTCTTGATGAGTGTAACATCGGGATGAGCTTATATCTTAAAAAACGTCAACAGTTAAAAAAGTACAGTGCAATTTAACAAAATTCATTATTTAATAAAGCAAAATTTTATTTATTTATATTGTACAAGTCACGACAGTCACATAGTGACTGCAAGGTTGCTAGTATTTTTGTTAAATAAATCTATCTTTATTAACAATCAATAAATTGTATTTAATAAATTTTTTATAAAATATTAATAAATCATCTGATATTAAAAAAAATTATTTGATGTCAGGGTTAAAAAATTTTTTTTTTTAATTTAAATCTTCGGACATGCGTAAAATTCGACGGATGAAAAATGAAGCTATATCCTCGATTTAATTAATACAAAATAATATAATCGTTTCCTCGACGCTTGCATAATGAGCCAATCGAGAGTAAGCGTTGCCGGATCTCTCGGTTCGTCACCTCGATAAATCCGTATCGTAAAATCCTCGATTATGGAAATGTAAAAGAATAGTAGCAGAAGCTTCTATTGGATCTTCTATCACTCTCTGGGATGTTAAATCTTCAGCGGAGATTGTCCGCACATGTCTGCGATCGCCGACAAAGAATGGTGATGATGCCTGCTGGGAGTTGTTCTCTGTTCCTCTTCCCCAACAAATGTTTAAACAGCATCAGAATGAAAATGAAAATGAAAATGTGGAATGTAAAATGAAAGCAGCAACATTACAGACAGATTGCCGCGCCAGTGGACGCCAAGTTAACGCATCATTGTCAAAGGTGTGACAGAAGAAGTGAATGAGGATCCTAATCTGTCGTATTGGTAGCCTGGTGCGATGCTTAGATGCTTACTCATTGTTATATTACTTGTCGTTCGTGTCCATCTTTAAAGAAATCCTTCTTAGTCCTCACTTTCATCGAAACCATCCAAACCGTACTATTACTATTTTACTATTTATATCGCTAGCTGGCTTCCTCCAATGACATATTTTACGCTGAACCACAATTTACACAAATATATAATCTCTTTTAAATATTTATTCTTGTTATTTTATTCTTATTTTTATTTGTTCTTTATTACTTTTTATTTTTCGACTGTTGGATTTTTTTAGAATTACTTTTCATTGATCTAATGTATTTTTTATTTTATAATTTCATAGGAAATTTACTGACTACTGTACATTGATAAAAGGATTTTTTAATGTTTAATATTTAATAAGCTTCATTAATTGTTAAAAAATAATGATTTTATTTTTTAACAAAAAAATATTAATCAATCATTTAAAAAAAATTTATTAAATGTGAATTAATATTTTTTATTAATCTATATTATTGAGAGAATAAGAAAAATTTTGTGTCCAGGATAGTCATATGATAAATTCGGTTTTTTTAAAGAAATTTAATGTCATTGCAAAGGTCTTGATTTGAATTTGTGCCTTTTCAAGGTTTCATATCATTCTCACCAATAGTCAATTTATTATGATAAGTATTTAGGCTGCATTCAAAAATGCTTTATCTTTAGATATATAATTAAGAAATGATCTTGTATTTTGTGAAATATTGACATTTTCAAAGATATAAGTTCACTCCAAAATTACACTCGTCGAGACCTTTCATTCGAGTACCCACATCAATTTTTTATATATCTATATATATTTATATATTTCACAAAAACCATATATATAAAATATATAAAAAATGCTATGTGGGTACTTAAATGAAAGGTCTCGATGAGTGCAACATCAAAATGAGTTTATATCTTAAAAAATGTCAATAATTAAGAAATGACCTTGTATAATGAGAACTATTGACATTTTTAAAGATATAAGCTCACTCTCACATTACACTCATCGAGACCTTTCATTTGAGTACCCACATCAATTTTTCATATATTTATATATATTATATATATGTATATATGAAAAATATATCAAAAATGCATGTGGGTACTCAAATAAAAGCACTTGATGAGTATAACACCGGGATGAGCTTATATCTTTAAAATATATATTATATATATGTATATATGACAAATATATCAAAAATGCATGTGGGTACTCAAATAAAGGCTCTTGATGAAGGTAACACCGGAATGAGCTTATATCTTTAAAAACTCCAATATTTAAAAAAGTACAGTGCAATATAATAAAGCAAAATTTTATTTATTTATAGTTCACAAATCACGTCAGTCACTTAGTGACTGCAAGGTTTCTAATAGTTAATAAATATTTTTTTAATGTTAATAAAAAATTATTTGGACCCTTGAGTGTAAATATAAACATATTAACAGTTAATAAATTCTTTTATAAATTTAATCTTCCAAAAATAAATATATTATACTTTAAAATGAATCTTCTTTTTATAAAAAAATAGAATAATTTACTTCTCGAAGATTTCTTCCAAGAAAAATCTTTTCTTCTCTAAAGAATCACTAAGCCATTAAATAAAAAATTAAACTTTTTAATTTTTTCAATAAAATATCAATCAAAAATTTCCTCAAAACAAAATTCCGTATTTTTAACGGAACGACCAAAAATCCTTCCATTAACAATTCAAAAAAAAAAAAAATTAATTCACATTTACAGAAAAACGTAAACGTTCAAAGAAGCGGGTCATTATGCCCAAAAACTCGGCGGGGGTCGTGTACCGTCGAGACAGTATGGACCCATTGTAGACAACTCACACCTTCGAGAAACGACCCGTTAGTGTTCGATCTTCTTCGTAAAGAGAATTTGTCCCGTTCGGTTGATCTATGATCTATGATCTATAACCAGCACAGCAGAGTAGACTCGGACCACAAACGGACAGGATATATCTGGACAGCGGAGTGTCCTTCCCTTGAATGTCCAAAATAAAAAGTGATGGCACAGTGTGAAGACTCAATGCATCGCCTTCTGAATGGGATCCATAATCGACAGCGTTCCAGGCCCCATAATTTTCAATGGGCCCGTTCGTGGTGGATTACGGTCGATGATTCTCATCTGGGGAAGATCCATCTTGTCCGTCGACGTCTTTGACAAATCTATCTATGACATCTTCTTTTTCTCTTTGTAATTTTCGACAAAGATCTGTTTGAATTTTATTTTTTTGGCTTTGATTTTAAGATTTCAAACGACGGCTCATCCAAATTTGATCTCTGGACTTGATCAATACTGGAAATATTGATATTGATATTGATATTGATAGTTAGAAAGTGTAACTATTATACCGTACTTGATAAAAACATAAAGCGGGAGAGCTGAAACGCGTTACGTAAAAATGCTTTTAGCGCTCACAGCATGTACTCTCATCCGTGGCGTTGACAGCGATTGAAAAGCGCGATTGATACTTTGCTTCACATATAAATTTTTCTTCTCTTTTTTGGCATCCAGTTGCTGATAAAAGCTTTAATTATGCAGCTTAACGGGCTCTGAGCCAAGTGACATCTTTGCTTAATGGTGATTAATCCTCTGAGCCGGGACTTAATTAAATCCGACAATCTGGGAGCTATCTACACGAACTGCAGCAATTTATGTTTGTATGTATGTATATTATGCGCTACCTTGCGATGTGGATATTTTGGGGAACTAGAGTAATTGACGAATAGAGAACTCCTGAGTGGTATTAAGTCTTATGGCTCCTCACAGTACAAGTAAAGCCACAGAGCTGCTAATTGGATCTCGAATCTTGACGCTCTCTATTTGGTTATTATTATTAATTTTAGGGGAGGGGGAATATTTTTATTGGAAATTATATTGATTAATTACTTGGAAATTGTTAATTTATTAATATTTATTATTTTTTTGGAACCTGAAATTTAATTTGTTAATTTTTTTTCAATTAGATAGTTTAATTATAAGTTTT